TGCTCCAGGGGCAATCAACTTGGCAGTGACCAGCCTTCGCAAAGGCATGGTTTCGCCCGATGATGAGGACAACTATGAGTCTGATGGACGCGACAAAGGCAAGGTCGAAGGACGCCCAGCTTCCGGTTGACCCTGCGGCCGACCGCCTCGGCGTTGTCCGGGTTCTGCCTCAACCGCAGGCCCACTTTGCTTGTGGGGAGCCGCGCTGCCGGCCGGCGGGGGTCGATCCCCCCACCGGCGTCACCCGCCAGGGATCCACCTCCACCACTGCCGCAGCTGCCGGGAGAAGGTGGGCTTGCTGCTCCGCCCGCACCCGCGCCCATTCAGCGGCGACGAAGTGGCCACCCACGCGGACGGCATCCTCGAAGGCCTCAAAGGCGAAGCCGAAGTCGGAGTCCTGCATCAACCCGTGCTTCTGCCGAAAAGCACGAACATTGGCCTCCTGGACACGAGACATCAGCCCTTCGCCAGAGCCGCCCGGGTCGCCCCCGCAATGCTCCATGGCTTCAGTGGCATAGCGCCCAGGAGTGGCGTCACCGCGAAACGCCATGGCTAGGGGCAGCACCCCCCAGCGTAGAGCCTTGGCAGCAACGGATGGGGCAGGCTTCGCATTGGTGGATGCCACATGATGCGCAAACAGATTGAGCCCTGTTGCCGCAGTAGGCGCAAAAACCGCCCAGAGGGAGGTTCCTCGTCCAGCCAGGCCAGGGAGTCACCCTCCCTGGGCCATGGCTCGGTCCAACTCCGAGACCCCAAGCTCCATCTCCTCCAGGTCCCCATGAAGCCCCTGAAGGACACGAAGGGGAGGTCGCCAGATTCCACCCGGCCAGCAATGGCGGAGACATACATCGGGATGATGTCCTGGGCACGGAGACAGGCAATCCTCCTCATAGCACCCTGATAGGCGGCCCAGGCCTCCGCTGCAGACGCGCCTCCTTGAACCAAGACTGCACGCCGACACCAGGTGCCAATGAACGGGAACTTGAAGCCGCCAAGAGACCCGTCACATCTTGCACAATGGGCATCAATGCAGGGTGCAAATTGTAAGTGGGGTATCTCCCCACTATCAGCCACGGGCAGGGGCGTTTGCACGAAGGGGGCATGCGACACTTCCACAGCCGAAAGCCAGAGCAGCCGGGCCTGGCCGTGATTCCCCTGCTGCAGCAAATTGCCCACATGGCGCTTGAAGTCGAGGTAGGCGCCTGTGGACAAGATAGGACGATCCGTGTGAACGGCCAAGTCAACTCCTGGAACTGCCAACATTCGACAAGTAACCCTTGCCGAACATGCAAAAACCAGAAGTTAAAAATTAGCCAGTTTGGATCATACTTGAGCCAAAAGGCCCCGCATGATCCAATACACTCCTTGCAGAATGAAGCCTGTAAACCCAAGCCTTCCAACCTGATACAGGATTAAGTTGCGCAACTCATCAGCCTGCGCTGCAAAGTACAGGCCATGTGCTTCTCCGGCTCGAGCGTTGCGACTGTACGAAAGAATTCTAGGGGCTGAGTCGTTTCCAGTCCGGCTCAAAACTTGACTAATTACTGTATACAGTCTTAAGTGAATGCCATCCTTTTTCAGAGGTCCCCTGTGTCTGCGCTTTCCCATGCACGAAGCCTCAGATATACTGCCAGGAAGAGATTGCCTGCTCAACTGGTCCGTCGCTTGAAAACGGCATGTAGCCTTGTTCGCCGTACACTTTCAGTTGGAAGGATGCTACACAAAAACGAAGTAGCAGGCGGTCAACGAGAGCACTCCAATCTCTGGGGCTCCGGCCGCATTGCGGAGCTGCCCAGTCGAATCCTGCGGATAGCGTGTGAAAATGGACGGCAAGGAACCATCCGCAGCTTCGGGGAGCAGATTTACTTGCAGATGCTACGTATTTCAGAGCAACATGCCCCGCAGAGTGTTGATTCTTTAGGTCTGGCAAAAGGATGAAGTGCAATCTAATCAAACCCACAGAAGAGGCGGCATTGGATGCAGGTGTTAAGCTGGGCTTCGGGCAACAGCTTTTCAGATCCATGTGGTTATCCCTGAACACCACAGCACAGCGGCTACGCATGGCTTCACGTCTCGGCATTGTCAGACCCAGAAATTTCTGGAAAGAGCAAGTCTGAACTCCTGCCTTTGGGCCACTCACCCCTTGCGTTGGCAGAAACAAAAACGTGCTATACACTGGATATGCTTCGCGCTAAGCAGCTGCTCCTCCTGTAGTGTTGATGTTGTCCAGTGGGCAGTCGGCGATCGTCGCTGTGCCTAAGGCTCTCATCCAACTAAGAATGTGCATGGCAAAGGCTGAACCAGTCTTGGTCACTTTTGCTAACTTCAAGTATGCCGTACCCCACTGACTGCTCTGAATAAACAACTGTCTACTATCCACTGAAAAAAACAACTGTCTATCATCTACTGCTCATGTTTAAACAACGCATAGACATATACAACCATCCATACAGTTCATCAAACAGTGCTGTCAAGAAAAATCTCAGGGTGGTCGCCAGCAGGAATGATCCTTCGTTGCACATGCTCATCTGGGCGCTCCCTGAATCTTGCAGCGATCCCTTACAAACTGCTGGTTTCAGGTAAGCACCACGGCAGGCTTGCTCATTGGGGACGTCTTGTGGCCGCTAACTTCATGCTCAACCGGACGTCCGGAAACATGACGCCTAGTTTCTTCAAAGCACATTGGGTATCAAATAGAGAGTCTGACAAGTCCGGGCACACCAATTCATCCCGGTGTCTTTTTGGGAACCTAACTTGCCCCCCAAACACGCCAAAAAAATCTTTAGGTTTCAGCTTCACATATCCGCAAACCCTAAAATATGTGTTTTTTTCTCGCAGACCCAAAGTTCGAGGTCTCCAAGCCCGAACCGAGCTGCCCCTGTAGGGCTGTCGGCAAGCAATCTCGCAGCTGCCCCCCGGCTCTAAGGATGCGCCCGTGCAGGCAGACGCATCGTGCAGGCCTCAGGTTTCTCCGACCGCTGTGAGTCGTTTTGGAGTCGTCACCTTTCTGTCACAAAAACCGAAAGAAGACCAAGAGCGGCGTTCGGGGAGCCAAATCCAGCTCCTTTTGGACACAGACCCATGTCAAGATCAAGGTTAGTCTACTTCAGCCTAACAGGAAACATCCTTATTTAGTACTACAATGCCACTTGACATGCAGTGGTTGCGATGCAAAAAGCGCACTGCACCCTCTGAGTTGTTTTTTGGCTTCAGCAGTTTTCAACGGTTTTTGTCCAACCCACATCTGAATTCTCTCCCTCCGGCGCAACACAAAAACATGCCTTCATGGCCAGTGTTGGGAGAGCTCTCGCATGGCGACCACCAAATTCACGCAGAACCCAACGGAGGGCGACTTGAATTAACCGAAGCGCCAGCGTATCCCACCTGCCACAGGTATCATGGATGTACTGAGCAGCTCCGAGGTTTCCCCATCTTCACCATGCTAGCGCCCAAATCATACAGGGAGTGTGCTCGCCTTCTTTTTGAAAACAGCATCTATCGCTTTTCGAGCTCCCCAGCATTCTAAGGTGTGTGGATGTCCATGTCTCTTCACTTGTGCGATAATTTCCACACACTTGACATAGCCATCGAAACATTGGCACAACGCGTACACAATCCAAGTCAAATCAACATGAACTCAAACAAAACAAAACGATAATCAATCAATAAAACAAGTGTAATCAGATCAAGTCAACTCCAACCCGACCTAACCCAATCCAATCAGATCAACCAACTAACCATCAATCAAATCAACCAACCAACCAACCAACCAACCAATCAAACAAGCAAGCAATCAATCAATCAGTCAGTCAATCAATCAATCAATCAATCAATCAATCAATCAAACAAATGAAAACAAATCCAATCCTATCCAATCCAATCCAATCAATCAAATCCAAAAAAAAACGATCAAATCAAATCAAATCGAACCAAACCAAACCCGGTTCATCGGCAGTCAGCATCGCGTGCGGGCAGGCGGGCGTGCGGGCCGGGCGTGTGGGCGCTCGCACGCGAAAGGGTCACGGGGGGTTAATTGCCCCATTGCAACCATTGCAACAACCTGCTTTCAAATTGGTTATACAATGTGTGCAAATTATGGGGCAAATTATGGATCATTTTTGGCCTGGTACAGTCATCCAAGCAAAGAGTCGCTGCCACGTTTCTGAGACCAGCGCAAGGATCCACCGCAGGAGGTTGGCAGGGCACAATCTCCGCAATGACCTGCGGAATTCAACGGACTGCTCGACAAGGTGTTTACACTGGAACCATCGGGGAGCAACGCATGACTCTATCACATAGGTTTCACAGAAAGTGGCCCCAAAGCCCTGTTCTCCGCAATGTTTGGAACCACCCGTTTTGCAGTTGTAAACCAACCATCTGCGGGGCAACTGTTGTTCTCCTGATGCAAACCTTTTGAGTGTCGGATGTCCAATTGGGCAAGAATTGGAGTCACCCAGGCCTTTTACAAGCATACACGCCCTCGACCATCCATGCAAAAACACAAAACGGCCGAGTCCAAAGATGATCGTGTCGCAGTATGTATTCAAAGAAAACAACATACCAAAATGCGAACCGACACCCCTTGTTTGCACAGAATTGCCTCTGTTCATTGTGAAATTAGGACAAATCGCAATTTCCTGGTCCAGTTGCGTACTGGAACCGCCACGAAAAGCAAAATAGTTGGTCTCTTTTTCCTTCCCCTTTGAATCAGATTTCAACCAGCGTAACGTTGACTCCGCGTCAATGAACAGTGCAGATCAACGTGGGGGCGCTTCCCTCCAAGTGAAGCCATCTTAAGTGGGACATCCGGAACTCTACAAAGCTGCGAACTCCAGACTCATTTCAACATTGTTGTGAGCGGAATTTTCCAATTATTGGTTCCTGTTTTATGGATCACCAACTGGTGAACTCCGCCTAATGCGAACATCCGGGAACTGCAGACTCATTTCAACAATTCTGAGCTCGTTTTCCCCGCGAGTTTTGGCGACCTATGAGTTGCTTCAACCGGCACTCCGCCAGCCCGGCCAGTCCTTGCAGCCAGCGAAGATGGCCTCTGAGTAGCACTGGGGTCCTGCAAACCCCGAGCTCGAGAGCTGAACTGACCGGGACTAGGTCCTCCAGTAGAGAGGTTAGAATAAGGGCACCAACTTTTTTCTGTAGTCTAATTATTTTAGTAGGGGAACTCTCCCCCCAAAAAGGGTATAAGGGCACTACTGGGGGACCTAGGGGAGTAACGTTCAGCTTACCCAAAACGCCATGTGGTCTGGGGCGTCAAAAGCGCGTTTCCCATGTAGCTTCAAAGACTAGGAGGACAACCTGCCCCACCAATCCAAATCACCACTTGGGGATCATCATCCACCGCAACAGGGAACCCTCAAACAAACAAGCAAGCAGGCAAACAAGCAAGCAAGCAAGCAAACAAAACACTCAAACAACACAAACAAAGAAACAAACAAACAAACCACCAACCAAATACACAAACAACAAACAACAAACAACACAAACATATAAATAAATCCTTGAACAAACAACAACAATAACAAACAATCAATAAATCAACAAATACATAAAGACAGAAACAAATATGGAATAAAGAACAAACAAACACACGCACAACAAACAAGCCTCTTCTCTCTCTCTCTCTCTCTGTAGCGCTAGTAGTAAGATCACTCTGCGAGACAATACGCTATTGGTAGACAAAACCTTTTCACAACCATACCAACCAAACCAGCACCTGATGGATGAGAGGGGCACAATGGACGCGCACGTTATGCGATGGCTCTCAATGAGTGCTGAGATTATGTTTGGGGTAAGGCCCGGTAAACCCATGATAACTTTCAATCAGATGGAACCCAAGCCTACGCATGGTTCTGGGAAGCCATTTCTTGACGACTTTTTGGCATTTGGAGGGGAGCCCTTCATATCAAAAGAAGCAGAAAAGTAAAGGTATCAGCACCGAAGTTCACGTTCCCCCGCACTCTAGCCTTATGCTGTTTGGTTGGTGGGGCAAAGGGTTCCCCATGCACCCCGCAAAAGGTCCAAACCAAATCCCCAAACCAATCCTACCTGCTCCCTCCCTTTCAGCTTTCCCAGGATTGGCGGTTTGAAATGTTGCGTTGGTGCTCCGGGACCGGCTTTCCATTTACTCTCCACAAGAACCAGAAATCCAAATCCAAACCGCCCCAAACCACCAATTTCCAAATCCAAACCCGAAAAACAACAATCAGGGATACCTGAACTAAAGCCTTACCTGTCCAGCCCCCCTGGCCCAACAGATTCAGCGCCTGCGGCCGCGTTGCCCAGGCGAGGCCCGCCCCCCACCGGGAAGGCACTGCAGGTGCGCACGGCAGCGCCTCGTGTCGATCGCTTGCACGGATTTGGGCCACTTCAACACAGACATTCCTCTCAAAACCAATGGCTGTTTTGGGCTAGACCCTCCAGCACAGCAGAGAGGTTAGAATAAGGGTGCCCTTTTTTCTGCAGTCTATTTTAGTAGGGGTACCCTCCCCCAAAAAGGGTGCACTGGGAGACCTAGTGGGGATGCAAGACAAATACAGAGAGCGTGAGGGCTGAATGCTGATAAGTAGTTGCCCTCATGGTTTCTCGAACTCTTAAGAAACACATGTCCCCCAATGAGCCATCGACTATTCCGTGCGTGAATCCAATAGTGGCTGGTACGGGGGCCATGTCCAATTTTCCAAAGAGCGAGCGAGATGGAAGTCTTCCACGTGACAGTACTGTCTGGTCATTTCACAGCGCCAAAAGGGTGGTGATCTGAAAACCAGCGTCGTCTAAACACGAGTCGTCTGAACATGTGTTGATAGTTGTTCATTTACTTTAGTCTGCTTCTTGGGCAACTTAAGGATACCATCAGGCATTTTCTTGCTTGGAACAAGAAGTCCTGTCTTTCCAGCATGCTTTGATCTCCGCTGCATGTCGACCTGGCCTTTTGCTTCAAGTGTATCAAGACACCCATGCTGGAGTCCGTCCATACGCCCTGTAGCATTCACTTTTGACACTTCACGCGCAAGCACACCTCCGCATATACCCGTCCTGAAAACACACAGCGTTCCCAGCCAACTTCCTTGGCACATGAACCCAACAAGCAGGGCTCGGTTGCTCTCTGCTCCCCTGCTAAAAGTTTAACTTTTTGTGGTTTAATGGGAAAACCCATTAGTTGGCAAACAGTTCAAGTCCTAACATCCAAGCAACATGCACCAAAGAGTGGTACTGTCTGATTGATCTGTTCTTTGCACATGAAGGCGGCGCCTCTACACGCACCGTGTCTTGCATCCTTGCAGAAACCTACGCTGCACAAGCGAAACCGGCGCACCTATGTAGTCGCGATCGCATCCATACGTGCCATTCCTCAGTGGTTGCCCTCCCTGGAAACGCCCTGTTCTGCTTTGTCGCTTGGCCCACATCTTGGGTACTCAGAATGTGTTCTTGGTTTCCGTTCAAACCACTTTAAGGTAAGGTGGGTGTTTGGGCCTTGACCAAACCAGGAGAACGCCAGCTACTGAAACAGCCAACGGACCCTCAAAGCGGGGCTGTCTGTTTCTGATCTCCGGCCAAAACAACCACTTTTTTGAGTGGGTTAACTGGAAACCCCGCCACTAAACATCGAGAACAAAACACCTACAGACCCAAAGAGATGGCTGGGAACCACCAAGAACATCGAGAAAAAAAAGAAACAAAAAAAGACGCACACACACACACACATCGTCTCCTTCCGAGCTGCGGATGCAGCACATAGCCCAGCGGGAGGCTCGCGGGATCTGGGCACTCCGGGAAGCTGCAGAACCTCGGCTTCGGACACCTCCCTGTTTTAGGCATGGGTTCCATTTACCTGGGTACCCATTTTTGACCCACCATCTCAGCTACTCACTTCCTGAGTGGATGGACCAGGAAAACTCCAAACTGTTTGTTTACACCAACATTGTCTTCCCAAACAGTGTGCAGTCCAGGAACCCAGGAAGTGACGGTTACCACAAGTAGACAAGAAGCTTTCTCCTGAACTTTTGAATGGTCTCCCTTGCAACCTTGGAACCTCCCCTGTTTATTGGCTGTTTGGGATTCGAAGGCCTGTGCGTCGGAACAGCTCAAAGGAACATTGCAAAACAGAAAGTTTAAAAGGGCAACCAAAGAGAAACCAAGCATATATACATAAAGCAAACACATACATCTGTATATATGTATATATATATATATTATACACCCAATATGTATATACAAACTCAAATGGACGCTCCCAGCTCGACACCTTAGGCTACGGCGGCAGGTCTTTCTGCAAGCCTTGCAGGGCGTTGGTGTTGTTCATGGGGCAGCTCGCATTCGTAGACCTGACGTGAACGCCATGCATTGGTCATGCTTGTGCACTTAACCGTTAAAAGCAAAAAAACAGGGGTTGAATGTTTGGTTGGTTTGGGGCCTATACACAGGGTCTTTTTCTAGGATATATTTGGAACCACTCTTTGCATATAAGAAAAACAACTTGCAGCCTTCACATCGGTTCAACTGGAAATGTGCAAGTCTACCCAGTTGGTAGCCAACAATTTCCCATGCACAGGGCTTAAATGGGGATGTCTTAAAACTAAGAACGTCTAAATCGAACAGAGCGACCTTGTAAAACATGTGTTCAACAGGAGTCCGATTGATTTGTTTGACAAACACCTCTTGATAATCCCACCAGCGTACCATGTGCTTACCCAAAGCCTGGCTGTCTAGCCATTGGTGGAGAATGGAATCTTAAATAAAGCACCAACTAAATGTCCAAACCAAAAAAGGGACTGAAAGGGCCTTCATCGTACCTTTTGCAAAAGGAGCCCTTGATCCGCAAAGGTCTCATGGTGTCAAACAGGTACTTAGATGAACGCTTTTATAGGATGAACTATGAACAAAGGTGCAAAATGGAACCAAGCTCAAAATGTAGTCAGGCTTCATGCCTATCATTCGAACGTAGGTGAAAAGTGCCTACCGAACATGAAAGGGCCAGCCCACTTTTGAACATTGTTTACCAAACCACGCTTGTTGGCAGGATGATATGCAAGCGCCAGAAACAGTGAGGCCCGAGGACCTCTGGTTTCAACGACAGCCTCCGAAAGCTATTCAGTGCGGTCTCAAAATTTTGGATTTTGGCAACCAACAGGAACCACCAAGTCTCAAAAACTGTTTTCTCGCTTTGGAAACGCCCAACACTCTCACTGGATCCAAAGGATCCAAAAGCCACCTCTGCGTACTGAGCCGCATGCCGCCGTAGGGGTCGCGGCATCCAATCTCGCAACTGTCCCCACGGGCGACCAGCTGGCAGTCTGACCTCCCGAGGCGAATCCATCGGCTCGTTTGGACTGAGCTGTTTGATCCTCCGTTTGAAGCGACCCTTGTGAACCACCTGTTTTCTTCAAATGTCATGCAGAGTCAATTGCAAGCAGAGGGCGAATTGGGGAGCCTTCCTGCAACTTCCAGGCCTTGAGCCGGGATTTTCATTGGCATGGGCTTCACAACAACACAAGCAAAAGCATTGCTTTGCCTTGGAATGGTGTTCTGCCAGGTTCATGTTCTTGCCAAGAGAAGGTTCTGCGGGGCTCTCTGAAAATGATTGAAATAAGCTCTCAAATGATCCAAGGGGTTCATGACCTGCCCCCAGCCCACAAAACTACACAATCAGATCGGTCACGCGCAAAGCAGAGGCTGAGCTAAGCCCAAGCCAAGGCCTAGCATAAATCCAGTGTCACAAGTCAGTGGCTTTTCAGGACAAAGCTCCGCCCACAAAGCACGCGGATATTTCCCATATTTCAGCCGGAACTCCGGGAGGGCGCCCCCCGAAAAGGCCGAGGCACACGTCGAATTGGCAAAGGTCCACCATGGGTGCTAGGCAGTCGGCCAAGGGCCGACAGCCATTGAGCAGCAGCGCAGGGGTACCACCTTGCACTCCACTCGTCGCTAGATTCTCGCAATTGTGTCTTTAGGGTATCCTGTTCATGTTGGTGCAAAGGGACATCACAACATAAACCAGCTGTTGCTCTTTGACATATCCCCCTGTGAACCTGAACCACACGACGAATCCTCTGAAACATAAATCGACTGGACGGGAGACGTCTGCGACCAAATGCGCACAAACTGCGCGACTTGGCCTGGATTTTGAGCCGTGAGTGCAACGTGCAAAGGGTGATCTTTCTGTCAACCTGCTACAATGTTGGCATATGTATTTGAGGCAGCTCCTGTTTAAATTTGAGGGTTAAAGCACATCCACCCCCTGTGGAATCCTTCTATACATCCGACATTGCAGACCTTGAAGTCGAACATGTCCATGCTTACACAGCTCATTTGATTAGGCTGCAATTCCATGCTGTTCACAGGAAACGCTCACAGAACTGGCAGCCCTTGTCGCGTGCTCATGTCGGCAGCGACTTGGTGACACGTGTACAAGTGCAACGTGCCGGTGCTTGGGTGCCTGCGACTGTCCTAGTTTGCTGTAGGACACTTTGTTGATAGGCATCGCAACTTTGTAGGTATCGTTATTCTATTGTCGACCCTGTCATTGTTCAAGGATTTTCGGCGGCTCAAGCGCCACTATCGTCTTCCAATGTCCCGGCAATACATGCCTCTGACTATGGAGGTTTAGAGTGGCGCTCCTCTGGGTATTTTTGAGGGTGCCCTTTTCAGGTTGTGTTAAGGGGGGCAAACAGAAACCACTCATTTTTGGGATCCCCCTATTGAGAGCCAACAAACACACAAACACCCACATTCAGCTGGGAACCCGATCCGACTTCCCTGACGAGGTACATGGATCGCTGCCATCAAACTGCAGGAAGCAGTCCTCTTTCACCAGCCCGGCATAGCCCTCATCACCTAGGCTTAGTGGCCAAATCCAAGTTCAGGAGCCAGCATCACCGCTCCGGACCCAAAACGCAGAGGGCCTGAACAATTAGAATGGGGTAGCTTAAAGCCGAAGCAAGTCATGATCATAGCCAAAACCGAAGACTTCGTAACCTTCGCTACGAAAAACAAACTTCAGCACCTCATAGTCTCAGTTGTTCCGCGACACTGGGAAAAAAAGGGAACCCTCATTTTTAGTGGGGCGGCCGCCCAAAAAAAGGAGGAAAAATAATTGGTGCCACTGAACAACTGAGTAGTCCATGCCGTGCAGCATTCATAGCCAGTGTCATTCACCTTTTGCCGGTAGCCCGGAAGGTTCGGCTGCAGCCGGGAGCAGTCCTCGATCGAAGCTGAACACCCGCCCATTGAAATTTGGTACATGGACAGCTGGAATCAATTCAGGTTCCTAAAAGCAAGTAACGCAAACACACACCTTCTTTGGGGGGAATCAACATCGGCAAACTCCAAATCAGGATGTCAAATGGGAACGCTGCTGGCTGTCATCCCTTTTATTTTTTCCAAGCTTATGTCAATGGATTGAACTTCTTACAAAAAAGATTGGCCATGGCCGCCGCCGCTTTTGATTTCTCGAATGGATGTACCCAGGAACTGACCCAAATGCTCAAGTTGCCTTTTTGCTCGTTGAAACCTTCCAAATGTGGTGGGGTCCTGGGGGATTCTACTTTGGTGGAGTGTTGTTGGTTTGTTTTCGAGATTCTTGTTTATGGTTTATACCATTCGTGCCCAAAGAGTGTGCTCAAGGATCGTCCCTGTGGTCGCACGACATGCTGACTTGAGTATATGGCCGTGGGTCAAAACCAATGGTACCATGATGGGCTAGGTGAATTCACCACCCATTCTAGAACCTATTTTAGTGGTTGGATTGGGTCCCGTTCACTGGGGCTAACCGATTTGGGTTTTGAGCCATAGCCATATCTCTTGCTGAACCAGTCTTTCTCACATTCGTGAATTCGGACCCTTTTGTGGACCGAAAGTCTTGCAGGGAAACTGACACCAACCAGCCAGCTATTCTCGGTGGCGAAATCTGCTCCCCTGCTAGAAGTTTAAGCTTTAGTGGTTTAATGGACAACTCACTAGTTGGCAAAAATCCAAGCAAAATGCAACAAAGTATTCCTGCGAGTCTTCAAGATGGGTCATGGCCACGACACAGCTGGGATACAGGTTTGCTCCCTGCGAAGAGCTTGCAACGCGGGCAGGCAGTACCTGTTATGGCAAATACTGCCGTCGGAAGAGCGGCACGTCTGATTTGTCAAAACAACTTCCTTTCTGGCTGTTCTGCCAGCTACGCCATGGTTCATTTCAACGGCAACCTGCAAATCATCGATTGCCTGAGAGCACGACTTGAGAGCTGCAACGCCAACTGGTTCAAAAGGACATGAGGCAGAACAAAACACAGCTGGAAATCAAATGAAACTCAAGTCAAATGGAAGTCCCGAGTTTTGCTTCAACCCCTTCAAATATGCAGGGCTGCTGGCCTGGGCAACTGAATTTCGTTGGTTCCAAAGAAACGCAAAAAGGCAAACATCCGGTTTGGGTGTCCCGCACTTTTGGATGTCCCCTAGTTTTGGGGGTGTCCCCGAAAATGTGGGCACCTAAATCCATGGGCCATGCCGCACTCCGAGTCCAGTGCGTGTTTTTTTCTTTTCCGTTTTTGTTTTTTTTTTTAACCGAGCTGCCACCAGGCACTGGGGCGACTGGAGCGTGGGAAGGAAGTACGGGTCTGTGTTGCCCAGCGGGCAAATGGCCTGCGGTCAAAAGGCCCCCGTGCGCAACGTGCTTGAGGCAGGCGTGTGACCCTAAAACAAAAGAACAGCCTTAAAACACGGGAAATTCCAGGTCTGACATTCTTGAGTTGGGCGCCCGCAATTCTCCACCATCACGCTAGCAGGCAAACATGTCTTCGTCCAACCCCCACACACTGGCTCCAAGGCTATGATGTCCCTGTGGATGGTTTGTGGGTCGCCTATGAGTCACCCTGATTGGAGAACATTGATGAATCATATCAATAAGCATCAAGCCCGCTTATCTCTGGTTAGAAAACCCACGTCGCTCACTTGTTCCGTCCACCGGAGTCGCAACTCGCCCAAGTTACCAACCCTCCAGCATAGCCCGAGCATGATATGCGTGTTCTTGCCTAAAGCCTACCATTGCTTCTCCCCGCGGCCACTGAAAATTATTGCCATAATTTCCCACGCCCCTTGGTTAAAACACCCGTTGCTTGTTGACGGTCAATGCCTTCAAGATTTTGGACACCCATAAAATTCCAATGACCACAGGCCATGACCATGGCACGCAACTACCCCTGCCAATTCTCACAAGGCCCTTCTTGGAAATTCGAAACGGCGCTGTGACTCCCCGTTTCCACGTCTCCGGAAGGTCAGAGGCTTCGCGAGTAGCCATCGACCCTCTCGCCTCCCCGGGCACGCCATCATAGGGGTACTTACAGGCCACCTCGCAGGAGGACCCAGCCTCAGATCCAAGGGAACTATGGTTCATGGGGGTTGGGGAGCGAGGGGAGGGGAGTCCAAAAAAACCCTGGTTTAGCCCTTAGAATAGCCTTGTTTGGGTCCCTCCCCCTCCCCCTCAGCCCCCATAAATGGTGGGTCAGCATACCAATGGGCAGAGTTGGCGCATGTTTGGAGTAGAAAATGGGCGGGCAACAGTTGGGGTTCCATGTGCCAACTGATTAGTTCTATCTAGTTCCCCCCAGACCTTCCTACTGGAAGAGGGTCGACGCGATCTTGGTTAAGGGTGTGTGTGTGTACGTCAAGTTAGACATCCCACACAAACGGGCCCGCCTCTTTTGTATTGTGTATAGCGTGCCCTTCTCACAAAAGCCTCGCTGCAGAAAGTTGTTCTACGCGGCTCCTGTTCTCTGAGTTGCGCACCAGTCCACTGGTGCAACCCGGTTTCATCATCAGACTTACAGTGCCGGTTTCTGGAATATCAAACGCGCAGCGGGCATCAAAGCTCACCCTCTGGTGTCACCATGCCGCTGCCACGCCAGCGCTGCAGTTGGAAGCGTCCAGCATGCATGCATCCAGCGGCAGCGGCGGGCACGGCACCTGACGATTTGAACAAAGGGCCGCTTGGCCCCCTGCTTTGGCTCATTAGGAACCCAGGGCATGTGAACCTGGGTTGAATAATAGGACAGCGTCCCTCCATTTTACAGGGGAACCTGAGGCTGCACTTTCTGGGTGTCAACCCCATAACAATCTAGGTCATTTGCATTGCGGGTGCTGCAGGGCCAGTTCATCAATATGTGAATGCCGAAGTAGCTTTCGGCCGATCCCGAACACACATCGGTTTCGCCTCTAAGCTAAGCTTGGAAGATTGGTTTCCCACTTGACAAATCGAAACTTCCTCTCCAGCTAAGGTGGGGGAACTTGCCACGTTCTCAAAAAGGAACGGTTGTGACCTCCAGCCGGAGATATTTCTCACCTCAAACAAGGAATACTACAGGGATCCCTCACAGGTAAGCTTGTCCCATCCACTTTCCACGACCTTTGAGGCAGCTCCAGAGCCCTTTCCGTGATACCAAGATGGGCTGATTTCTTTTGCAACTAGAAAATCAGCCCATCTTGGTACAAAAGGGGGATCAAGTGACCCTACCTGATTCTCACAGAACCATGTCCTCACGCATGAATCACTGGCAACTCCGTACAGTGTATGTCTCGGCAAATGTTGAGGTAAGGTCCGGCAAAGTCTGGTGCATGAACCATGTAGGGAAAAAATACATAAGCACAATTTGCAAACATGCACCCACGCACGCACAACAAAGACACAAACAAAAATACAACACAAGCCAGCCAGCCCAGCCAGCCAGCCAGCCAGCCAGCCAGCCAGCCAGCCAGCCAGCCAGCCAGCCAGCCAGCCAGCCAGCCAGCCAGCCAGCCAGCCAGCCAACCAAGAAACCAAGAAACCAAAAACACACACACACACATGCTTGTTTGCCAGGTAAATCCCATTTGCTACAGCCATAGCTTCGGTTTGATTCACATGCATGTTCTGCTATTGTTAAGACAAATCTGAGATTCAAAACAACTCAAGCGGCCAAAGGCTATTGCTGCACGGATGGCTTCACTCGCACGCTTTTTGTCTTGAACCACATGTAAAACGGAAGAACCTTAGTGAACTGGCTGTTTGTTGCCAGCTTCAACCTTGGTAACCCGATTGGAAAACAGTACAAGCTAACGCGGATTCCTGGGCAAGTTCAACTAAGACATGCATGCACTACCTACGATCAGAAAATGTGGATTTCATATGAGGGCATTATTTTATCATGGAATCATGAGAACATAGGGGTGTCATTTTTCAGGGTGCCTTTCTTGGATGGTGTTAAACGGACACCAACAGAAATCCACCCATTTGGGGAGTTTCCCTATTTGAGGCAAACCCATAGAGCATGTCTTGTTCAATCCACGCAAGCGCTGCCCAAAGCTAATCCAGCCTGGCCAACACAGCCGCTGAGCACACTGCTGATGTTGCACTGTGCTCCTGCCAGAGATCTCAGGCATGAAGCCCGTCCAACCGGGAGGACTAGAACCATTCGGGTATGTCAAAATGGGCAATCCGCAAAATGGTACTCCATTTATTTAAAGCTATACACCCACCCGAAAAAGGTCGTCCTCAAGAACACATCCCCCCCCATGCCCCAATTCAACGCAGCCCGATGTCCGATGGAAGTGGGCCCCTCCGTCCCATGCGATTTGAAAGCATCTCGCATGGCTGAAGCATTTCCCAAACACGCAAACACACAGACAAACCCAACTGCCAAGGGCACCTACCATCAACAGCTGAGACTTATTGGGCATTGGGCGCAACCCCCGCGCCTGCACCTGGCTCCACGGGGCTTGCAACGCCTCGGGCGTTGCGGTCGTGGATGGCTGGGTGCGACGCAGGGGGTCTGGACAAAATACGACACGCCCATCCCCTTTTGGGCATCCTTTTAGGGAAAATAAACAGACTTCTGGGCGATTTTTTTCGCACCCCTTGATACCTGCATTCACCGTAAATGCCAAGGTAGGGGACAGCAGCTGCAAAATAGATTCACAAAACACTCCGGTGGTGGCTGGCAGCGGGCTTCTGTCAAGTTTGTGTAGCCGCATTCTTGCACTTTATCTTAAGGTCAAAACACAAAGTGTCTCGTGGTGCGCCATGGTCAAATCTCTTAATGCGGGCCATGGTCATGGCTTAGATCCAAAAGAAACCCTTGTAGATGTCAAGAGTCCCAATGCTTGGTTGACGTTGGAAGGGGAGCAACAAATTAAAATTTAGCAGTTAAGTGGGGACTTCCCACTAAAACACAGTATGCAAAAATGTAAAATGTTCCCCAACAACAACCATGAATCGGGTTGAAAACCATACCAGACTCAAACATGTGTTGATCCTGGCTCAATCCTGAAGCAGGCTTGACTGGCGCAAGGCCCGCATGTCAGAGATTTCCAGGGGGGTAGATGCCTTCTCGTGGGTTTCAACTGGCAACTTGGCTGAATGATTCCAATCTTTGCTGCAGAAGTGTTGGCTGGGTTGGGATCAATAGCGGGGCGAATGCAGAATTGGCAACCCCAGCGATCACTTGGCATACAAGCTCTGGGCAGGCGGGTGGGCATGCCACACGGGTATTGAACCGGGCAAACCCTCCATGACATTCCGCTCATACATCAATTGACTGGCAGTGGCATGGACTCGGGATCGAGCGTGTCCAGTTCACGTTCGAGTTGAAAACCCAACGAGCAACGTATCCATCTAATGCTGCCGGCTGGCAAGAGATGCTTGCGCTTCCCACGAAGCTGTCCTCGGACTTGGCACAATGTCTTACTTGCTGAGCGATCCTGGGGAGAAAAGGCCCTTGCAGGTTGGCTCTATCAGAGCTTGACCCATAACGAAGCTGGTTGCACCATGTTGCACCTCTCCGAATGTCTTGGAACCTCTGCCCACTTGGAGTGGCTCAAAGGAGCACGCCAACATCCCGCGCTGGTTTCTGCTGCTTCACCTGGGCCCATTGGATAAGGCCCACCACTTCGGGTCCAAGGCTCTGCGCAGCTCCAGTTGCCTGGGACAAGGACCTGCCTGTGGGATCCCTCTTGGGTCGGTAAAGGCGGTGGTTTACGCGTTGGAGACTCAAGAGAGGACCCCTCACTTGACACGTTCTCCCACTGGCGGCAAATAAACTGGAACCATTAGAGTGTGGCCTCCATCTGAAAGGGAAGCGTGCGACACCAAGTGCTGCATATCAGTGTCATGCTGGTGACATGCCCACAACTTCTTGACGCCGCGACATGTTCCTCCCGACGCACAGCAGCATCTTTCATGTGTTACGTATGCTTGATACATACTCATACACTGCCAAATAGTCACGCAGGAACTGAGCAAACACACACACACAGACACAGAGTTCCATTTGTCAATTGTTCCGTGGTAGACTTAAACTTACTGGTGGTTGATTTCCCAAAAGGTAGCCCCTCGGTTTAAGTCTGACTTGGGGTAGTCGAGGTCAGAACGCCATGAAAAGCTGTGTGTTTGCAGGCAAAATATCTTGCAGGTAGGCTTTCTCAGACTATACAGATTGCATGCATGTATAAAGCAAACACGAAAATAGAAGCATTGTTATCGTCGTCAATTCTTCAAACTCCTCCAATCTAATGCATCTGCTAATTCTTTCCTTCTCTATCCAATATGTGTTGGAATGACGCGGAAAGGGACATGCTTTTAAGTGCTAGATTTGAAGGGGTCTCAATTGTCGTCTAACTTCTTTAGAAGGCAGTGTCGACGTAAATAGAAGTACATTATACCCATGCACACATTCTCACCTCACATCTTAACTCTTGAGCAGAGGTGCCTTGAAAGGGCAGAACGACTAAAGAAAAGCATGCAAAGACAATCCCAATGTAATTGTTAACTTAGATACCAAGCGAACATGTGCTAGTATATTGTCTTTCACATGAACAGTTAGACAACTAAGATACAATCAAAACATGTTGAACAACAACAACTTGTCAATCAGGAAAAAGAAGAGACCGCCCTTAAAGAAGCCTTTGCATTAGTATGAACATGAGTGAGGAAGAGATATCACGCGTTATCCACGTCCCTGTCCAGGGCATGCTATCTTTCCATATTCTTGTTTTATCATCACCATCTGGACTAGGGACGAAATGAAGGCATGTGATGGACAAAGAACCTTCAAATGCAAATACAAACAACATGGAATGATGACTTCTCTACATTGTGAAGCTTTACTCTAGGAGTTCTGACGGCATGAGGGTTATGATCAATGATATTCCTCCTGTCTCTATCTCACACTATGTGGATTAGTCATAGCATGATCGAGACAAGACACGAATGAAGCAACAGAAATGGTAACAATGTATCTGGCTTGATTGTCTTCTAACCTTATCGTTCTAAGACCATTTAACCTGAAATTCAAAGAAGAACACAATCAAAACATAGCTATCCACCACATTCTCACACCCCATCTCCTGAGCAAACGGGAGGTGAAGAAAACCACGGAGTGAGAAGAACGCATAATTACTGAATCACCATTTGCAGTTTGGACCGAAAACAGAAAACCAAGAATACAAATCTCAAGCCCCTTGGGCCTACCCCTTGGGGTCTGTATCTATACATATATATAATATACATTCATTAGTTTCTCAAGTATTTTCTGCTATGTAGGTCACCCACAAACAACAATCCATAAACCACAAAACAAGTTTTCACCCCCCAAGCCCCATGGGCCTAGCCGCTTGGGGTCTGCAACTTTGTTTCTTTGGTTTTCCGGTTTTCGGTTCTTTGTTCTTTGGTTTCTCCAGTGGTTTTTGCTCTGGAGTCTAGGTCAAAACCAAAAAACAACTCGAGCCCAGAACCTGAGAGCCCAAAAACAAAACAAGGTTGCCTTACGCCCTTGGGGTCTGCGATCTTGTTGTTCTTTGCATTTTGTCTTCAGTGCTTTGCTTTTCTTGATTGATTGATGTTGATTGTTTCGTTTTGCGATGTCTCACTAAAAACGCAGCCCCCATGACGTCCCCTTCTGTATAGCTAGGGGTGGCTAATTTCCCAAAAGGGTAACCCCTTTTAAGTCTACCTTGGGATAATCAAGAAATGCCCCCCCCCTGCACGCACACATTGATGAGCTTGCTTCTGTCGACTTCTTTTAACGTCCGGCGCCTCCCTGCTTCACGTAGCCCGCGGGGACCACTGCTGGGTCGGGGCATGGGTCCTCGGCTCCCGGAGAACGCTCGCACCTCTCATGGCACCATCTGCGCAGCTTCTCTTTGAACTTCCCTCAACTTCAACCGCAACCCCGTAAGTCCAGCAGTCCAGCAGGGAGCTGATTTCCCAAGCATCAAGGCGGAGCTGATTTCCCAAGCATCAAGGCAACATCTACAAGCCTGCCAGTCGGTCGAACAGACTTATAGCGAGCTGTTTCACCAGTACCCAAAAATTGCCTTTCCGGCCAAAAGCACAAGCCCATGAACAGCACCTGCAGGCAAAAGCCTCACCAAAAACGTGAGGTATGAATGAACTTCCTGTGCCATCTCAGCATTTGCTTTACTTCTTTCTTAGCTTTCGCCCCAAACGCCGCAGGAATCCTACACAATAGTTCAAGGAACTCCAAATCCAAGATTCATGGTTGCCAAATGTCGATCTCGCAGCTACAAATGTGTCCGCGTTTTGCGAAACGGGCGTCTTCTCGGCCAGGTCCCCGTGCCGAAACCATGTTGCGCCCACCACCAATGGATGGAGGAATTTGAGACAAACCAAACCAATGGTCCAAACCGAAGGGTATTGGTATGTTCAGATTTGGACAAAGCCCCGGAATAATCCACACCCCAATATATGTATTTGCTGCTGACACTTGGACACTTGAGGTTATTTGTATGTTGACACTTGGACGAAGCCCTGGAATCGTCCAAACCCAAATATGTGTATTTCACGTAATGGTGATGTTGGTCTCTGTTGGGCAAGTTGCCAGGAAGCACTCTGGCCACGCGTACTGCAGCGGCCTGGCGTCTCGCGTGTCCAGTCGGCCTTGCCCTGTGGTGGAAGGATGGGTATGCCCCCAACATGGTTGGCTTCCTTTTGGTGTCCCTTAGAACCCGCCAAAAAACGGTTGTATACCCCGCAAAAAACCCACATCTATCTCATATCAGAAAATGTGGATGTTGCTTTGCCGCGTTTGGCAAGCTTGTTTACATTGTGGTCGACGCCTAATTGACAACCCGAGCACCATCACCGGTCTACGCACATAGGAATTTGTCGAGATTCCGAGATTCCCGCGCCACAAATCGAATGAGTGCTCTAAACATACTTAGATAAACACGCGAGAAATGACAGGTAGATCAACAGACGATCCCCAACTTTGAGGCACACCCTTCGTGGGCGTGACTTTTTCGTGGATGACCCTATTGACATCATTTAGGTGGGGATTCATCTCTACTTTTGAGGTGGCTTCCCTTCTAAATCCCTATTACGCATCGCCAAATGAAGTGGGGTGCACTGGTCGCTGGATCTCTCGTCTGGATTTCGCCTGTGCGGGTCCGTATTGTTCACCACGCACGTGCCCAAGCCGATGTCCCCCGTGTAGGGCCCCAGGCAAGGCACAAGGCCTCCGCTCAAAGCGGACTGGATCAAGGGGAACCAGGAACTGTAGGTTGCAAAACTATGCACGCAACTAGAAATTCAAAGCTAAAAACCCGTTTCGACAGCACTTGAGGCTCCTGCACAGGAGGAGGTCTAAGCTATCTAAGCATCCCTGAATTCACCAGGCACCAGGAACCTTATCAAAGCAACTAGAAGTTCCCAAAGCTAAAAGCCGGACCGAATACGTAGGATGCCGAAGGACCGCTTACATATCTTACATCTCGCCTTTGAACATAACGTATTGTCGGCTCAGGGTAGGCACCATGCTCGAAACCTGAAACCCGTTTTGACAGCACTTCAGGCTGCACGAGGAGGTCCAAATCTTTGAATTCCAATCAATCTTAAGGCAAGCCATCTTGAAGCAAGATGGCGCTACGAAATCGCGACGGCGAGCATCGCTTAAACAAGCACACAAGTGCCATTGTGAAAAGACCCACCACCGAAGACTAAAGATTAAGCGGAGCGGGAAACTGGTCATTGCCAAGCTGATCTTTTCACAGGCAAAGCGCCGAGCGCCGATGTACTACATGGTTGGCGCGACGAGAACTCACTCGAAATCAGCTCAGATTCATTGGCAGCGAATGGATGTCTGAGCCTCAAGCTCGTGTCTCGTAGGTCGACGGTCTGTCTTTGCCTGCTTCAGATGGGCTGTAAAAAACCTGTGTAAAGATTGAATATGGACTCCGAAACTCGTGGCTTCCTTCTCCCCTTCTTGGTTGACGTTGGAAGGGGAGCAAAAAAAAAATGTAGCAGTTAAGTGGGGATTTCCCACTAAACCACCATAAGCAAAAATGTAACATGTTTCCCAACGACAACCATGCCTTCCCCTTCCAGAAATGGAAGTCAGCTGAGCTCGGTGTCGTTTACCCCGTTTCGGGACACATCGAGCCACAGGAGGAGCCCGCGTCCACCGTGCCGCAGGCAGAGGTGTCGTAGTAGCCTCAGGCAACCCTTTGGGTCCGGTTTCGGTTTTGGGTTTTGGGTTTTGGGTGGACCTTTTTCAGAAAGCCGAAACAAAAAGGGACAGAACAAAGCTGTGCTACAGAACAACAGAGTACCAGAAGTTCCCAACGTCCCAACGTCCCAACCAAAAGCGAGGCCCGCAACTAGTACAAATGGGGGCCCCCCAAGAAAAAGACACAAAGATCTCTGAACGGCGGTTGTTAAAACATCTCCCTCTGATCTTGCTTAGGGGGTCTTGTACTTTGATGATCCCCAAAACTGGACATGCAGATCTATCCAAGCAGCAGGGAGGCTGTGTCCGAGCATCTGGAGCTTTGCCTCGGAGCTGACCCCGAATTTGGTAACGAATCAACTTAGTTGCTGTTGATCCCCTGCAAAAAGTTTAACTTTTTGGGGGTTGTGAAAAACCCTTGATTTCCCAAAAAGTTAAAGTTTAAAGATCCAACTCAATAGCAGTCAAGTCAATGTGCTACACACATTGACATTGCCCTTTGGTGCACTTCCAGGAAACACAAGAAGTGGTCTCGAAATGAGTGGCGTTTCATGTATCTAAGGTGGACCCAAACAATGGCTTCGGTTTGTCTTGCGGGTTCCCGTTCAAACCGCTACTAACTCCAAAAAACGGCACACCCATTGGTTTGCTCAAGTGCCCAAAAAAGGCGCCAAGTGCAGGCTGATTCGCAACCTCCCGCCTTGGGGGAGCTCATTCATTACGCAAACAAAAGGGGGGAATCGAAAAGGTAAGCCATGAAAGATCCTCTGCTCATGCTGCAACGCTTTGTTCAACCCCGTGGCTCAGGTGCACATCCGTGGCAGTGAACCGGTTTCCTATTTGTCCACGTGGGGAGTCTGACTGAGTTCGTTTCGGGGGTGGGCGAAGGGAATTACCGGCACCCTCAAAACAGCACGAGGAAATTAAAGGAAGCTAAAGAAAGCCAGAGAATCAATAACGGAAGCCAAAGGAAAGTAACGGAAGCAACTATGTTGCGGGAAGGTACAGGAAGCTAAAGGAAGTTAAAAGAAGGTAAAAGAAGGTAAAGAAAGCAAAAAAACACGTTTTGGGGGAGGGGTCCCAAAGAAAAGACACCCATTTGGGTATGTCTCAAAATTGGGCACCTCCCCTGTTTGCGCCCGGTTTGAAAGAAGATCAAAAGGACCCTGGCCCATATAACGTACTCTCCAACCCCCTGTTTAGAACCCGTTTCATTGCCAGGGAGCAGGGCACGATGGGCAAACACCCACTGAGAACTGACGTGGTAATGCAGCCCTCCGCGTACCTGAGCAGCACGTCACCTACGCCCAGCCACACAAAACTGGGAATAATTGCAACTGGATGTGCAACAACGACATCCCAAACAAACAAAAAAACAAAACCAACAAACAAACAATCAGGCTAACAATTAAACAAGCACGCGTGCCGCAAGCAAGCAGACACACATACACAAGCAAACAAACACACACACACACACACACACAACCAAACAAGGAATGACATAAAAGAACAAACATAAAGAAACACAAAACAAACAAACAAACCAACAAACAAACGAAAAACCAGTTAAAATAAGAACCAAGCAAACCAAACCGACAACAACACACACAACCACACACACACACACGCAGGAAGGCAAGGCAAGCACGCAAGCAAGCAAGCAAAAGCAAGGGTGACCAAACAAACAAAAGATCACACAAACAAACAAACAAACAAACAAGCAAACAAACAAACAAGCAAACAAAAAACATTCAAACAAACAAACAAGCAACTCAAACGAACATACACAGAAACAAGTACGCAAGCAAGCAAGAAATCAATCAAACAAGCAAGGTGAGCAAGCAAGCAAGCAAACGACAAAACCGCAAGCAAACCAACAAGCACGCCGACCCAATCAACCAACCAAACAACCACCCTTTCAAGCGACCGACCGAGCAAGCACACGCGCAAGCAAGCAAGCAAGCAAGCAAGCAAGCAAACAAGCAAGCAAGCAAGCAAGCAGGCAGGCAAGCAGGCAAGCAAAAGACACAAACAAGCAAACACAGAAGCAAGTTAACAAGCAACCAAGCAAGCAAGCACGCAATAAGAAGCAAATCACACATCTCGAAATTGCAAGTTTGTCCTGCAATGTCCCGCAGCTGCACTAAGCATCCTTCGGCACTGCGAGCCGTGTTTCCACGAGCAGTCTCCGTGCGGGTCGCCCCCCTTTGGACACTTTGCCGCATGCGGCGGAAGGACCTCAAAGAAAGCTAAACCAGAAAAGCCAACCGCACCCTTCCTCGCCTTGAATCCCATGCCAGAGACTCAAATACTGCGGATAAGAAATGAGGAGACCTTGTGACTTGCAGTTGCCTCAATTGCAGTATTGAGTGGGCGGCACGCCCAGCATATATGGGCATGTGTCAAATTGAAGTTGTATTGATTTCGCTCTCAATCCAACTCGAACAGGGTACCCTCAAAACACAAGCCCCCCAAATATCCTCCACGCTTGTACAGTTTGCGAGCAGTTCCTTTGATTCATCTGCGGCGCGAAGATGTCACACAGCTCTTCACAGCAACTCCCGCATAGCCAGTGGCGCATTCCCACCTAGGCAACAATGTCGGGAGCCCTGCAAATCTGCGGAATCCACGCAAATGCGGATTGGTGTGAGTATGGGGCAAACTTTACACAGATCAACCCCTACAACCAGGGGCCCGCTACTGAAAGGGGGAGGTGGTCAATCAGTCATGCAGCTCAAGCTGAGGGAAGTTGCCGTTTTTTTTTTTTTTTTTTTAAAGGTATGGCCGAAGCCCAAGGTTTGACCCAAAGGAGGAAAAGGGGAAGAACTCATGAAAGTAAGTGGGCCAAAAAAAGAAGAGAGAGTTCCTTGAGCAACACAGAAATCTGAAGTTTAAAGTGATTCCGACAGATCCAAGCCACAACTCGACCCCAAAATGGAGGCTTGAAGGGAACCCCTCCCGTGGCAAGTCAAAATCATGATCCGAACGTTCCTGGGACTGGAAACCAGGGCTGAGCCAACCCGCTGTTGAAATGTATAAACCACCGGAACCACCGTGGTTGAAACAACCGCCTTTTGGTTGTCCTCAGGGGATCAGGGTCTGATTGTCCCAAAGCGCTGTGTGAAAAAACGGGGTTCGCCTCCTACTGGTTTATACGAACAGCCAACCGGAAACCAGGGCTTTTGGCCCTAGTCCTTGGAGAAGCACCCAATTTTGCTTCAGTCGAGAGACGAGCTGGTCTTGCGGTAGCCGACCGGCCAAGGGTCTGGGTCTGAACAAGTCACCTGGCCAACCGACTTCGAGAGATTGAAATCGATTGAATTGTCAACCAGTCTCTAATTTACATTGTTTTCTTGCTTTATCTGGCGATCATGTTCTCCAAATGCTTCCATGCGCTTTGCACACAACTCCGTAGTGCTCACTCAACATAGATGAAGGCCCTTGTTACGTGCATAAACCTGTTATTGCTTGGCGGTTGATTCTAATTGAGGTGAACATCTTGTCGTCCAAAACATCAACAATGGCCTTCAGTTCAATCACGGCCATCTGCACAATTCCCCTAGGTCGTCTTTTGGGCCAACTATGCGAAAGCTCCCTCGCCTGGCAGTCTGGCATCGTCAGCTCGAGCACCTGTTCCGGCACCTGTGGTACGTGCAAAGCCGTCAGATTAAAACAAGTGGTTCCTCCAAAATGCCACTTGTCTGGGACCTGTGGCTTCGTGAAACCATCCCATTGCCACCGTTCGCCTGCCAATCTGGCAACACACCCAACTGTTACGGGTAGAGACGGCAACGCCACGGCTCATGACAAGAGCATCTTTCAGCATGTTCTGCCAAACAGGCATTTCCCGAACAAGAAGTATATCATTAATCTTGTTACATACACACCAAGTCTGCAGCAATGAGGCATCAAGGTAAAGTAAAGTACAAGCTTCATGAAACGACATGTGGGAATGCGTCAAAGCCTGTTTCACTTGGTCATCCATAGCAACGTATGAAACATACCTGATAGGTTTGCTTTTAAAGCCGTCATGGCCGTGCGCAATTGAACAGCTGGTTGGCCTTAAAAGGCCAAGTGGCCAGCCACAAGAAAGCAGGTGGCCACAGTTTCCACAATCCAGATCCAAAGGCAAACCTAGAAAGCGTCCTAGTGGCCAGAAATCGTTCGGTTGGGTTGGCTCCCCAGTCTTGACTCAAGAGCCAATAATGAGCCAATAGTCAGGTGAGACTTAGTTGAGATCTGCAGCAATTCACCTTTCAGATCTGCGCTTTGAGGCGTGATGTACGGCATCTGCCTGCTAGAGCGTTTTTGGGATGACTCCCCGCTGGGATGGGAAAACGTGTGTGTGCTCCCCTTTCATGGGGTCGAGGATCAGGGTGCAACTAACGTCTCGTGTTGCCCAGGGCTTGCTGTCTGGCCGTTTGGGGAAAAACAGTGACTCAACAAAGTGCAAGACTAGGCAGGTGTTGTTTCCGGCAAAGGGCCGAATGGTTCTCCGCCTTTCGCCCCACCTTGGTTCCAAATTTGGGTCAAGGCGCAATGTTCCCTTCGGGGCATTGCGCAACAGTGCTCGCGCCGACAAAGTCTGGCCTCAGCTGAGATAAACAACCAGGGCAATCTGCTTCACCTCCTATGAAACGCCCGGAGCACTTTCGTCCCAGCTGCAGCTTGCAGCGGACTGTGCAGCTTTCGCCGCCGGTGAGACCCACGCAGTCGTCCGTATCCTGAGCTGGATATGGATGGACGGCGTTGTGCCCACCAAACTGTGCGTGTTGTTTGAGGGTACCCTTATGGGGTTTAAACCGAAAATGGGGTTGTCTGCTTGAGACTCGCCAATCAGCGCAAACAATTTGTGACGGGTAGGCAAGGAGTTGACGTGGACAAGCCAGTTGGAAGCACGGACAACACACTTCCGCCCCTCGGGTCTGCCAGGATTGCCCTTGCCCTTTCAACCGGCAGTTGGCGAGCCGGTTCTCGCAAGAAGCGAAGCAACACTTGTGACATCTTGAGCACCCTCAGCTTTCCGGGGTGACACATAGCAAGCGCTTTGCCAGTGATCGCTTACGATTGTTCGACCTGGCAACATTGTCTACTGGTCTGCTTCCTTGGATCGCCGCGTCGGACCCTTGTTGGAATACAGCTTTGAAAGCGAGGCGACCCCCCAAGAAGCAGCGCCAGAAAACACTGTGTTCAACAAGAATGCCAAAGCAAAAGGAGATTCAGCTTACTTTTGCTTGCGCAGGTGTTGACATGCGATCACGCTGCGTGCCCCTTGCTTGATGCATTGTTCACATTGCGAGGCCGTGGGAACCGGCGTGGCTGGTTCGCCTGAACTTCGAGCAGTCGCCAAAGTCATTGCAGGCGGCACTGGCAAGGATTTACCCCCCTCCCAGCCACCATGTCCTGACATGTCCTGACATGTTGCGCCTGAATAAAACCAAAGCCCACTAGATCCTAACCTGGACACCTAAAGGCCTGGGATGCCTGGGAACCACCAAGTTGCGGAGGCGGAAGGAAGGAATGCCCCATGTCCGACGAGCTTGCAGTTTGCTCTAGAGCCTTTGACAAGCCTCCACCACGCAGCTGGAGAGGTTCAGGTCGGCACACCTCGGATAAAACAGGATCTGCTCGCGGAAATGGTGAAATGTGTGTGTGTGTGTGTTCTTGCAAAGACCTGGGAGCCAAACGTCGCTGATTCGCTCAACTCCAGGATTAGCCTGTCTTATTTGAACATGCCGACAACACAAGTGGCTTTATGTTGGCTAGTGCCCGTTGCACAGTCTTCACATGTTGTTGCTTTTGGTTGAGTATAGTCTGTTTCAGCTTGGATCAATGCGGTTAAAAAGCCAGCGAGCCAGCCGAGTAAAGCCAACAGCCGAACCTGCCAGTTCCCGTTACAGCTGAATGGCTACGATTTCTGAGGCCGTGGCCCATGCTTGAAGACAGTTCTAAATAAACGCCCTATGACAAACAAGGAAACATATTTGCCAGGCCAACAGTTTCCAGTCACGGCAGGCCAGATGCAATGGGTAGACAAATCGAAGTTTGTCAAGCGTGGCATCACAGTAGCAAGAACTTGGAGCACATGCTCAAGTTCACACCTACCAACTCTTTGGACCGTGCGTGCTAAAAGGAAACTCCCTACGTGCACGCAACCCCAAGCTACAAACATGCTGAGAATAAGCAAAGCATGTTTGCAAGCTTCTCTGCGGCGAGCCAAGGGCAGCTCACTGAGAATGCCCGGCATTTTTGTGTCGGAAGTCGGAATGATGTATTCAATGCACATCCTGCCAATAGGACGATGTGCAGGAACGACGATGCACTATGCCAATCCATTCTAGCTTGTTCATCAAGGAATTCTGGCAATTTGACAGGACACCGTTCCACCGTCGTCAATTGTCAACGAAACTGCATAGTATGCACAGGTTTGGCAAGCAGGCTTCACTCATGCCGCACTTTCAGATGATAGCAAACCTCATTATCGATTTCTTAAGCAATCTGACTCACCTGTGCAAGAGCTCATACGCAATCCAGCTCTGCTCAAAGGCAATGCGCTAGAAACAGTGCCTTCGCCAGAGCTATGTTTCCGGGCAATGAAATGAGGGCAGTCTCTGTTCAACACGTGAGCCATGGTCAAAACTCGAAACATGGGTCATGGTCATGGCTCTCTGTAGTGTGTGGTTGTCGAACCTCCTTTAAAGGGGTTCATGACCATATGCCAACCCCAGCAAAAGGACAAATAATAAGTTCACTGCAGTTCCAACGGAAGCTCTCCCTCGCACACAGCCAACCACTCATCCACTGATCCCGCTGGCCAACTGGAGCAAGCCACAAGGCAGGCCGGCGGGAAATGAGCCATGCGAAAGCATGCCAGTTTCCACCATCAATGCCAAATCCAAATCAAGGAAAGTCGATTTTAAGAGCTTGAATCAAATCAAAGCAGTTCGAAATGGTGTTGCCACAAGCATCCTCAATAAATGCTACGACCCTTGGTGTGAGTCACTGCCAGTCTTGACGATTGCTTACTTCAGCAGCGCCCCATTTATGGCCTACGTAAAGGTGAGAACGAAGTTGCCGCACGAAGGACACCCGACTACCAACCTTTGGAAGGGCCCTCATTTTTACTATCTTTGCAATTACATACATGCTATCATGTTTATACGTGCTTTTTTTTGGGCATGAGCATCTATACCGCTGGCAGAAGCTTGTCTTCCGAGGCGCGATTCGAGGAGCTCGCAGCCCCCGAAGTCCAGCTTCCACTCGCAGGCGATGTTTGTGGTGCAGTTCACCTGCGAACTGCTTGGTGGGTGTCGGTCTCTTTGCGAGGAATCGGACCCCTCAAAACGGCTGGGTGTGAGTGCGTCATATTCATTTTTTAGGAGTCGGACCCCTCACAACGGCTTGTGTGGGTGTCATTTTTTAAGAATCGGACCACTCAAAGTGGCTTCGGGTGTTCGTTGGGCTTCCCTTACCTCCCAACAAGACAGCCTAATGTTGCTGAAGCCGAACAGAAAGAAGCCTGTTGAGTTAGGAAAAACACGCCCCGCATTAGTGTACTGTTTTTCTAAACAAGCACAGGACATCACCTATACAAACTCCTGAAGCACCAGGCGCAAAGTACTGCCAATGTATGATCCATACTGTGGATGGACAAAATCCTGCGCCAGTTAGTACAAGAAGATGGGATATCCCAGTTTGTCCATCACGGTATGGGCATATTATGTTTTTTAGAGGGTGGCGTTTTGAGGATATTAAACGGAAACAAATAGCAAAACCAGTGATTTCGGGGACGGTCCCATACTTTTGCACATACACAAATATCCTTTCTGTTATTGGTATGTGTCTCCCTTGGGAGAACCCTTCCGAAATAGTGATTTCCTTTTGGCTCCCCTTCAACTTTCAAGTTCAAAAGTATACTTCAAACCACAACATATCGAACCACATCGAAGGCGAAAGTGTGTGTGGTTCAACCGTTGTACGTCTACCAAACTTTCCGTAGTCCTCCGATTGTCAAGCCATAGTCTCCCAGTCTTCCGGTAGCCAGAGTCTTCCTGTCTTCCCCCTAGTACCCCTGCAAGCTTCGCATTCCAGCCGTCTTTCATTTGAAAGGCAAAGGCAACTACAAAGGTCGTTCGGCGTCCTTCCTCGCCTTCGTTTCACTCCCATCATGCACTTTCAAGCCCGTCAATTGTGATAGATGGCAATCAAGAGTGGGAATGTGGATGAATAAGGAACAGAAGGTGGAGCGTGATAGGGAAGGACAAGGTCAGACATTGGCTGGTTCCTCATCATCGTTTGGGTACAGTAACAATGGTGGGCTCCGCTAGTCTCTTGCTGGTTGATGTGTAGCGCAAGACTTGTCTGTCTGCAATGCGGCATCCAGTGTGCCATAGGTCTTTTCTCTCTGCATTGGTTGACTACGGGTTTGCACTTCTAGTTCTTTGCTGGCAAACCCAAGAGGTACGTTTTTGCTCCTGTGCCAAGAGCAGGCCTACAAACAGCGGATCATCATACTTTCCAAACCTGCCCAGGCCTCTGCTTGGTTGACGTTGGAAGGGGAGCAAAAAATTAAATTTAGCAGTTAAGTGGGGATTTCCCGCTCAACCACAATAAGCCAAAATATAAATGTTTCCCAACAACAGCCATCAACAAGGTGGACCTTTCCGCCTTCCAAACGGCAAAGCGTGGCTCGGGGCAACTCAGCTCACCGGCCTCTGCTGGCTCCCGGTACCCAGGGAGGCAGCCCCACAACTTGGCCACGTCGTCCCACACGAAGCCGGGCCTGCGTCACACCGAGAAACCTGCCGCCCATGTCCAGACCCCAACTGGCAAATGAGCTTCCCTTTTTAATGTAACTTTTTCATGGTTCCATGCCAGTTTAACGAATTCAAGGGCTTTTCGGAGTGTGATGGATGGCCTACAACTTTAGCAGTGACAAGCTTGCAATGGCAAGCACGCAAAACCAAGATTAAGATCCAGGACAGCAACTAACGCAACACACGCTAACGCAAAGAAACACACAGCAATGCAAACCAAAGAAAAGCAAGACACGACACTGAACCACAGCACAACACACCAACAAACAACAACCACCACCAAAAGCACAAGCACAATCACAAGCACAAGCACAATCACAAGCACAACACAAGCACAAGCACAAGCACCACCACAACATTATCACCACCACCACAACCACCAACAACAACAGCAACAGCAACAGCAACAGCAAGAGAACCAGCAACAGCAACAGTGGTGTCGTCACCTGATTTCTTGCGAGACTTCGGACCTGGGGCTGGCACGGTGTCGTCTGGCCCACTGCGTGGGGGCAGGCGGTCTCGCAAATAGGCAAGTCATAGACCGGCTCCTGGAGTTTGCAGCATGCAATGTTTCTCAACATCTGGCCATGGGTTTGTCTTTGGCTGAGTTGGTACCGCTTCTTGTGGATTGAAAGAGAAACCGAAAGGCCCGCCTGTTTCTTGCGGTCAGGGGGGGGAACAAAGACGCACAGACACACAACACACAACAAGACACAAACACAAAGAAACACACACGAACAAATACACACAAACACACACACACACACAAACACACACACAAACACACACACACACACACACACACACACACACACACACACACACACACACACACACACACACACACACAGAGACACACACACAGAGACACTCACACAGAGACACACACACAGAGACACACACACAGAGACACACACACAGAGACACACACACAGAGACACACACACAGAGACACACACACAGAGACACACACACAGAGACACACACACAGAGACACACACACAGTGACACACACACAGAGACACACACACAGAGACACACACACAGAGACACACACACAGAGACACACACACAGAGACACACACACAGAGACACACACACAGAGACACACACACAGAGACACACACACACAGAGACACACACACAGAGACACACAGAGACACACAGAGACACACAGAGACACACAGAGACACACAGAGACGAGACACACAGAGACACACAGAGACACACAGAGACACACAGAGACACACAGAGACACACAGAGACACACAGAGACACACAGAGACACACAGGGACACACAGGGACACACAGGGACACACAGGGACACACAGGGACACACACAGGGACACACACAGGGACACACACAGGGACACACACACAGACACAACAGACACACACACACACAGACACACACACACAGACACACACACAAACAACACACACACCAACACACACACACACACAGACACCACACACAGACACACAACACAACAGACCACACACACACAGACACACACACAGACACACACAGACACACACACACACACACACACACACACACACACACACACACACACACACACACACACACACACACACACACACACACACACACACACACACACACACACACACACACACACACACACACACACACACACACACACACACACACACACACACACACACACACACACACACACACACACACACACACACACACACACACACACACACACACACACACACACACACACACACACACACACACACACACACACACACACACACACACACACACACACACACACACACACACACACACACACACACACACACACACACACACACACACACACACAGTCACACACATTCACACACATTCACACACGCAAACACGCAAACACGCAAACACGCAAACACGCAAACACACGCACACACACAAACACACACAAACACAAGCAACAAACACACAGACGAACAAACAACCACACACAAACACTCACACAAGCAAACACACACACACACACGAACACTGAATCACACAGACACACTTACAGAGACTTCAAGAGATCAGCCGGCGCTGTTCGTGACTTGCTCCTGGCATGGCCCTTGTGCATGTTGGTTTTCCTTTGAACCAGCCTGGTACCTCACGTACCCAGACACAACCACAGACCACAGATACGTAGCAGGAAGGGCGGCAAGAAGGGGGGAGGAGGACAGCGAAGCGCTTCACAGGCCCGCCAAATGTAAACATTGTGACAGAACACGACTCATGACATCAGTTCGGCGCGACGTCCGCTCGCTCTCTCGACGTTTGCGATCGCAGTCTGACACGCCCTCCCGCTTAAACATCACGAGAGACATCGATAATTGGCAGCAAAATGTGGAAATCCACCAAGGGAGATAACCTCTGGACAAAATCATTTTGCACAAACTGGTATGTGGCTTGTCCCACTATTCAAATCCAGTTTCATCTATCCTCAGTGGTGTCTGCCATGGATTTCGTCAAAAACGAGACGCTGACCTGGATTCAGCTCGGGGAAACCTGGGGCACAAAATTGTCGTAGCTGACTTTTTGAGAAAACAAAGGCAACCTCTCAAAGGGGCAAAGAAGAAGAGTCTTTTTATCGGGCTGAGTACAACGAATTGCTCATACCTCTTTGGTTTCCCATGACCAATCATGACGCGTGCTGGAGGTCTGTGTTTCTTTCAAAGCGTGCCAACTCGTCCTGACCCGGGGCGTTGTTGTCCCAGGGACACATGGCTGCGGTGGGCACACCATCATAGGGCACCTCAGGCGACTTGGTCGGTAGATGATCAGTCAGTTGGATATTGCAAGCACGGAAGGGACCACCTTCGTATATCTACCATGTGCTCTGGTTGCTGATTGGCCAGACTTCCCCTCCGGCAAACAAAAGAAGTTGTTGCTTGGGACCAAGGAAACGCTGTGCAAAGGTGAATTGAGTTTGGCAACCTGCTGGTTGCCTTTTGCTGTGGGCTCTGACACAAGCTTGCGTTAGAATTCCACCTCTGGGTCCGGCAATGACCGATGTCGCTTTTGACCCTGGCACAAACATGGCCCAATCTTGAAATGGGTAGCCAGCCCAAAGTCAGCTTGCCTTGCTGAGATCATGGTACTTGCTCTGACCTTGGCAGATTTCACAGTAGGGAATGTCTTCCAGCCCGTGTCGAAGCTGGAATATCTCGAAGCTTTTTTCGAGGGTAGGTCCGGGTAGGTTTGGTGTCTCCTTTGCTGTCCCGAACCAATCAAATCGGCTCAAACTTAGTGCCAAACGCTCAATGCCAAGCATCAACTTACTTCCTGAGTGGATTGGCCAAAGGAGTCAAAACTTTTGTTTACCACAAAACGGTCTTCCCAAACAAGTGTAAATCCGAGATGGAACTCGGGGAGTGAGTTAACCATTCAAAGAGGGCCCCTCACATTGGCAAAATCATGTTATCCCATGACGGTCGTCCTCGTGCATTTCAAATAAGAACGAGGGGCAAGAGCTTAGAACCAGTTTGCTCCTCTAGTTGGCCAACCCGAAGGAGCCACGTTGAAACTACCTGGCCAAATACCTGTAGTTCACGCGCTTGAAAGAAGGAATATCCAAGTGAGGCACCTTCTTCGTTTTCTCCTCAGATCGGTGAGGTCGAGATAATTTGGCCAGACACCATGCCCACCATAATACTGAGTAACCAAACAACATGACCAGCAAACTAAGGGGAAGTGTCTGGTTACGTATATAGCTGGTAACTGGGAGCCTCAGGGATGGTCGTTTCAATACATTGGATGTTTCCCAAAATAACATTCTCGGCTTCCCTTCCCTTTGCCAAACAAAAACAACAACTAGGGGTCCACTTGATCTGGGGTCTTGTTTTGCGGTTCGGAACCCATGAGAGGCGTGGTTTAACGGGAAACGAACAGGACGCGGTCCCCTTTGAGACGCAGCCAACATAAGCCCTGCCTGGCAGTAGATGAGCCCCACGCTGCCCGGCCTGGCACGTTCCACGAAGTTGCCTTTCGAATGCTTCGCGACAGCTACGTGGATGTGGACATGGTGGGGAGTCATAATGTTTCCTTTTGGGGGTTCATTTACAAGTGGCCAATTTGAATAGACCGGGTAACATAAACAATCGCCTGCTTGTAGAACCCCGTGTTTTCCTGTCCAACATCCGGAGGGTTGTTGACCATGGCCCGAATTGCCATTGCATCCTTAGGGACCAAGCTGTAGAACTGTAGAACCATAAGGTTCATGCACAAACGACATCACCCCTCTTTGCCTGATTCCTTTTGCCTCATTGGTAGGGAACGAGGGAACGAGTGGGTTGTGCAGTTCGCCTGTGAAACCGGCTTCCTCGAACAACGAGTTCAATGCAATTGGCCGCATGTCATTTGCGCATTCACAATTGCCCGTCAACACATCTGGCATCAAATCAAACCTACACAGGCATGTGATCATGTTTGAAGAAACAACATGCTCCAAATGGCAATGTCATATAACTCGGACCGCAAGGCACTAGCATTATCCTTCCATCGCGGCCACAGCGGTGGATCAAATCCGGAAGCCCTTGTTGCCAGCACTTCTCATTGCTGAAGTCCAAACACTTGCTTCCCATCCTGAGTTGGATGACTTTTCTCCTTTTCCCCCCTCAAACAACAAAAAACGAATTAACAGAAATGGACGGAAACACCACAAATGCCAACAGCGCTTGACCGCCTCTCCCCGTCGCGAGTCCCAGACCCCGTGGAACATATTGGGCTGACGTGAGATTGGCCGCCAGGGAGGTGTTGAAGCGGCAGTCGTTCCTGAGCCGCGCGAGGCATCGGACTGCTAGGGACACCTGCCCATTTGTTGGGCCAAGGCAGGGTCCCCACAATGACACAGGGACATGTGCGAGCCCCTCCACGCTTGTCTTCTTTCTATTGGAGGTCGCTTGACATGAAAGAGGCCAGGCCAACCCAGCCATCGGCCGCGTGCATTGCCATGGTCACACAGGCATGTCGCCTTTCGAGCCTGCGGCTTTCATCCTGGATTCTATCCTGGCGCGTATAGGTTGCCATGTTCAAGACTTGAACACGCGCTCGGGGAAAGATTGTGATTTGTTCTTGTGAGCAAACAGGTTGCGATAGAAAGAACACAGATTGGAGAAAGAGGAGCGAACAAAATGGGAGACTTGGATGGCCCCCGTGTATTTTCAATCGAAAACGGAAACAATGGACTCCGGACTGTTCGCATGACAGCCTCCAGGGCAGCAAAGGAGAATCAATCCGCACAGAACCGCAGCAACTTGGACCGGGACCCAGGCTGTCTCGAGAAAGCAAAAAATCCTCCCGTGAGAAAGCAAAAAAAGCCGCTAAAACAAGTCGGTTGGAGCATGTTCGCCCTTGCTTTCAAGATCCTTCAAGTGCCAAGGCTTCCCTGTGCCACTTGGCCATGGGTCAAAAGCCCGTACCCCTAGTGAACATCCCAATCCTCACTAAAAAAACTAAAATGGGTGGTGCACCTATCCCAAAGCCATGGCCACCGTGCATGGGGTTGGGAGGTGGGCTGCGGTCTGCCTGAAGCTGCCCAGTGGCGTCTGGGGCTCAACGCATGGAGTCAGCGCGGCGCAGCCCGAGAACTGGGCCTATGAGGTGCCGAGTCTTGCGTACTGATGGACCAACTGCACCGGTTGGTAGGTGGCGTATCCCGCATGAACTGTAGGGTTTCGTCCATCCCAAGCGGTGCGAAGTTTCCTCCACCCAAGCTTTCGTCCACCCAAGATTTGTCAAACTGTTTATGATTCATCTAGCCCAAGCGGTGCAGGATCTCGTTTACCCCAATCAGGTTCCTGAGTGTCCTGTATGCGAAATTGTTGGCTTTCCTCGAGTTTTAGGAACAACCATGATATGACCTGCAAGACTATGGGGAAGTCAGGCAATCAAGCGCAGAATCGTTCTGAGCTCATTTAAGTTTAAGGCATGTCATTCATTAGATGAAGTAATTGATTCTAGCGCGATGGGAATCCCAGCCACGGCCCTGGGTTGAGAGCATCTCTCGCTCGCTATCAACTCCCGAAAGCCAGCCTCGCTTTCTTTCCGAGTCCCGAGGCCGAACCGGAAGGAGCAAATACGAGAAACCATGCCTTCGAACTGAGTTTTTAGGTTTGTCCTATGGTGAAAAGACGGACAAGCGAAACCTCTTTGAGAAGTGTCCTTTTCCTGTTACACACTGTGAGTTCACGCCGCACTCGGGTGCTCTTCTTAACCACATCACATTCACCCGTGCAGTGCGCATATCTCCTTTTGCTTTTGAACTGGTCACCATGGTCGAGATACTGGCAGCCGTTGGCAGACTCTGATTTCAACCCGTGTCAAGCGTCCCAGTGCGCCAAAGGAACTGAACCTTCAGGGATCCGGGCCTATTTCAAAACAACCTGGGTCTCGCATAGGAATGTTCCAGATTGAACGCTGTCTGAACGCTGCTCTCATGCCGCCTGGATGTGCCGCCATTACAACCCGCCGCTTTGAGTTGTTTTTCTATCCGTGGATTGGTGCAAGAATGGGATCTATGTCTCAAGACTGCACACTTCCAAAGCAGGTGCTTTGCTCACATTCGTCAAGCAAGTGCACAAGCGCATGAGCCATGGTCAAGACCCCTCAAACGGAACAATTCCACTTCCTAATAACTACCAGGTGGATGATGATCCCTGTTAACCCCAAGTACGGTACCGGGGTCTTTTGAGCATGGCAGCATGGCATGGCACACATGATTGCTCGACTATGCTGAAATACAAGCAACTACCAGAGATGAACACGCAACATACCTCTTTAACAACTGGTCAGCAACGAAAAGAAAAAACGTACGATTGGGTCCTCTCTAACCGAGGAATTGCTGTGGATGGACACATCTTTTTGGTGGCTTGGCATTGACGAAATTGGCAAGAACCACGACTGCCGGTGTCGAACTCGGCGCCTCCGGGGTGCACTCCTTGGAGTTGGGGTTCACCGGGCGCAGCGCGCAGCGACGCACCTCGCGGCGCGCGCGCGCAGGCGCAAGTGCTTGCTCTTCAATTGAATGCGTGTTTCAGTCTCAAGCGAGTTTGTTCTGTTCGTTTCGGCTAACCTTTCAGCCCGAGTGAAGACAGTGCTCGGAGTGTGCTTGCTTCAAGCTGCAAATCGAATGCATGGTGATTGAGCCTTGCTCTCTCCCGCCATTCGTCCCCATGCAATGGTGCACATCATGCTCAAGGAATGTTCTGGCACTATCTCAGAATCGGATAACGTGCTTTTCTTCATGGACTGTGCCAAGTTTCTGCAATTGCTTGGTGAAATGGGTCACTTCAGTTGGTTGGGGGGGGTGATAAAGAACTGATTCTGACACACCTGAGGGCTGCTTGAAGCAGCGTCAGGGGCATCGGGCCAACAATGACGGTGCTGCATGGTGAATGACCCAACAAGAACTCGGCAACGGCAAATGGACATCTGGAGTATGCAAATCTCACCAGCAATTCATCAACCAATGTATATACCTGTGCGACAACTGACTAGTTTGCAGTATCACTTCCATCTAGAAGGCCCATTCTGTTTGAGGGGCACTTGCTTTGAACAGTCAACTCCTTGATCGCTTGAAGCAATGCTCTATAGTTCATTGACTCCCTTTCCGACCAACCAACCACAGCACGACGTGGCAAACAACAAGGTGTTCAAGTTGATCCGCTTACCACCGTTTTCAGGAATCCAGTCTAGTCAATAACCTCAGGAAAACCCAAGGAGGGAGCCCGGCAAACCCTTTCAGATGTGGGATGTTTAGTTTTGTGTTACTGACATCTTGTTTTCTTCATGCTTAAAACCCATTCCACAAGGGGGGAGCCATTGGAGGGGAGAGGGGGGAAGGCTACGCCCCTGATCATCAGTCCATGCCATAAGAAAACATCTAGGAAATTTCAAGGAGGTGCAACCAGTCTGTGCTGATCCGAGAAGCTCCAAACAACAAACAGCAACAGCAGGGCCACTTTTCCACCCGAGCGTTGCCCCCCCATTGTGGGAAACTCCGCGCTTTGCTGATGTTTTGCTGATCCATTGACGAAGCGAAGCCAAACCTGGGGGACAAATCAAAACAGGATACCGTTGACTGTTGTTATGGTGAGCAATGCCAGGATCGCGACCGGGGGGTCTTTTTTTGCCACCCTTGGTGGCAAAATGATCGACCCCCTTCTAGTGAAGGATTCCTTGAGGGGGTCGCCCATTTTCTCAGTGGCAAACAGACATGTCCCTGCGATTGGATCGATCTGGTTCCTTTGAATGGATTCCTTTGGCCGTTTGCGCCACTGGACTGGGCACCCGAAACCCACCGTCCGACCCCCCGAGAACGTCCCCGGCGGATTCCGAGGCGCCGCGGTGCCGGCGTAGCCGGGGGCGCAGTTCCAGGTGCCCGTCTGGTCGTCGAAGAAGTAGCCTCGCCCCGAAATCCAACACAACTCTTAGTGAAGTGCAACCACTTCTTGCACTTCGGCTACTTAGAGCCGTAGCTGGGTTAATCTGGCCATGGGTCAAAATCCCGTACCCCCAGTGAACATCCCAATCCCCACTAAAATAGACTAAAATGGGTGGTGCATTTACTTCAAAATGGTACCAAAACGGTTTTCACCCACAGCCATCTAGCTGAAATCATTCTGCCAGCGATGTCCCAGGCCCTACCTTTCGTCGGAAGCCGTCTCCGGTGGCACCCAGGAGAACAAGAAATGGGCCAGACGGAACCCCGTCCAAGTTGGTAAACCCGTCCAGCCCACCCGGAAAGTGTGTCTTCGGAAGCCAAGAAGGCCACACCCAAACCCCTGACTGTCCAAGCTTCAGTGCTGATACACCTTGGACAAACCAGATTGGCGGTACTAATCCAAGGAATCTACTTGAAATGGATGAGTGAGCGTTGCCGCAAACTTGCAGGATTTGATCTGTTTGTGCCAGGTAAGGCACATAGGCAAGACGAGGACTGACTGCTTCCCCGAGTCATGCGCGGTTGTGAAGCTGTGGAACAAGCTTGCAATAACTTGCACATCCCCATGCACACAGGGTCTGCTAGGCACAGAGCATGCAAGTTGGAAAAGGCGAGCCCTTGGGACAAACTGCAACCAATCTGTTTGGCTGTTCGAGGGTGCAGGTTGAACATGCTGTGAATATGCGTTGATACAAGCTGATTTCGGGGGCAAGTGATGCGGAGGTGATTCGGCTCATTCGGCTCATTTGGCTCACAGAGTGGGTGCATCCGTCCCTAACGACTCAGAGGAATCTCCCTTTTGGGAGGTCTTTTCTGGCTTCTGTGGTTTATCTTCAAGGGAGTATTTCCACTTCAACGGCATATTTCCATATGTCATGAAGGCCTCACATAATACAACATATTGTGTGGTGGGCTGGGTCCTGCTGTGTGATGCTGTCAAGTTGCAATACACTTAAACCTCTGTTCTCTCGCTCGCTCTCACACACACGCACATGCACACTCTCCACCCTTGCTGAAAGCACTTGTAGCCGCGAGGCAAAGTCAAGATTCATTCCGCAACAGGGGCATTGGACGAGTATCCCCGGGTTCTACTTGTAAAAACAGGTAGCGCATGTATCAGCGCTGCCGTTGCTGATGCCAGCCGCCACGGTCAATATGTACTGTGTCCCCGATTGACGCGGGGATTTAGTTTGGTATCTCCATTGCTTATTGCAACTTGGCGAGCTCCTTTTCTGCAGTGGATGACATCAAATATTGACCTTTGCCTGACTTACCCAAAGGACCTGGAAATAAAAGGTCAACCTTTTGGTGTCATGACTAAACATGGACCAAATTAGGAAAACCAAAAGGTCAAAAGATATGATTCCGATTGCCCATTCATCGCACTCATGGATTCGGGCCTGCTGGTGCAGTTGCTGGATCAGGGCAACTCTCCTGGCCCGCTGGATGGGGCGCTTCCACCCCTTGCTTTGCTGTCCTCTGACAAAGCCAGAAAGCAAGTGCTTGGGCCAACTAGACTTGGATGAAAGTAGATGACAAAACCTTCCCATTTTGGTTCTCTCATCCTCTTTGCTTACGGTACAGCGAAAAGAGTGCCGTCTACTTTCACCCTGGTGTACTGTGATTCACAAACCGGAAATAAGGAATTGGTTGAGCGTAAAAAGGCCAACTTTTAGAATTTAATCAGCAGCTTACAGCCAAACGGTTGCACCATATGCATAGCATTCATGTCACCCGGTGGCTGCTGAACAAACACAGGGTAAGTTGCTCCTTAACCCACCTCAAAGGGGTGCTCCCAGGCCGAGCGTGTCAGTGATGCGCTGGCACTTTGCCTGTCTAAGAGATGAACCAAAACACGGGGCTCTTTTGCTGTTGTGTTCAAACTCGCCACATCTGCATGTAATCTAGCAACCAATGGATTCGTCCCACTTCCTTGGCGACATCCAAGCAAGAGGCACCGAAGATCCAACTTGTTCACACATACCCACCAGCACTATGTCATCCCTTCCAACAGGAGGTATCCATGCATGTCAGCCTCGGACTACAGTGTACTTCTAGGAATACGGAGTAGATTAATCTGAAGTGAAGATGTCGGACCAATTGCACATCGGTGTGCCCATCTGTGCTTGCGCAATGTGCCACGCCAAGCTTTAATCCAATCCAACATGGCGAAAATAAGTACTAAACAACAGAATAGAGAAAGTGCGCGCAGTAGCTGTTCAACTGGCGGTGCTTGGAACACTCCTTTTTGCTCGTTTTCTCGTTGGCTAAAAGGGAAAATGGCCATCCCCTGCTCGTTTGCTCGTCCCCAAAACAAGCCAGTCATTGGTTTGCGTGAGTTTTCTCTAAACTGGGCTGCCCTCAGACCCCCTGCTTCAAGTTTAACTTTTAGTGGGTCAGATGGAAACCCCCACTAAACACTAAAAGTCTAAAAAGCTAAGGGGATGGCTGGAAGCCACCAACTTTGAAGCCCAAGCGCGAATGCCGAGTACAAAACCGGGTGGCGGCCTTGGTTTGGACAGCTCGCGCAACATGAGCACAACTCCGTGCTTTTGTTTGGGGACAAACATGCCTCAATCTCACAGATCAACAAATTATGGTTGTCCCTTCCGCGGTTGCAAAGGTATGAGTCCGTCTTTTTTTGAGGCTACCCCTCTTTTTCTGTTTACGGAAACCAAAAGAACACCACCATTTTGGGGGTCCCCCCCAAAAAACAAATATGGGTGTGGGTCAACATTAAACCACCAGGGGACCACAGGTTTGAGTCCTTGGTTCCATTTACCAGCACCCCGAAACGACCCCCGGCACACTCCCGGCCCCCGCCCCCCCCCCCCCCCCGTCCGCGGGGTTCCAGTTGCACACCGGCCGCACCGGCAGCTCGGCCGCGCCCAAAGGGTCCGTGTTGTTGCCCGGGCAGGTGGCAGGCCTCTCGATTTGGAACCGTGGGGAAAGGAACGTCAGAAGGAAACCTCGGTTGCGAAGTCTGCTCCCCTGCTAAAAGCTGAAGTTTTAGTGGTTTAATGGAAAACCCATTAGTTGGCAAAAAGTTAAAGTCCTAACATCCAAGCAACATGCACCAAAGAAGCATGTGTTCTTCTTTTCGACATGCCCCGAAAAAGGGCGCAGTCTCTGAATTCAGGACCCAAACAGCAGATCTTGTTGCTCTCGGCATGGGGTGGGGTTGCCCTTTTGAGCCGCAACGTCCGGCGGAGGAAAGCGCCGTGCGGCCTGATGCTGCCCAGGTAGTAAGGCGCTTTGCAGCGCACGAAGCACGAGCCGCCCGCAGGGACGCCTGCCGAATCGCTGCAACTCATGTCCGGCAAGAACGACTTACGTGAAACCAATAAAACTAAGCAACCAATGATTCAATGTGAAACCAATGAAACCATAGTGCAACATGCCCTCCAAGAAACAGAGTCTCCAATTTCAAGGGCCCAAGGCCGACATGATCAGCAAATCTGGACGTGGGATGACTAAGACATGAATAATCATCGCGAATGTAATTTGTGTGGAACAATCTAAAGTTGGTCAAGGAGCAACATCAAACATGCTCCAAAAAGCACTCAAATCAGCACCAATTCTCCCTTCGCCGTGGAAAAGATGGGCAGGCCGCAAACGGATGAATTTCCGCGTACGAACCGAACAGGGCCTTCACAGTCCGCGACATCGTAGAAGCAGAAGTTGTCTGTGATGACCGGCGCTACGCAGGGCCTAAGCGCAGCCACTGCTTCAGTATGGATCCTCGTGTTGCTGTCTTGCTTCCTTGAATATATAATATGCCAGATTGGAGGATGGCAAGTTCAAACTCACGTTAAGCACTTTCACTTGGTGCATGTCCTGAGAGGTATCGCAGCACACTGATTTGCTTGATGAATTCTCCGTAGCGCGGCATACTTGGGTCTCCGTTTTGAACGCATCCATTGGGCCTTCTCCAAAACTTAGGCCGAGGATGCGAGCACATGAGTCGCTCACGCGCTCCTCAAGCTGCTGGGTTTGAGCTCGACACTCTTACACTTCCTCCTCTACATGCTATCCTTAGGGCTGGGGCCGCTTTATGACCAATCCACCTTTCGCAGTAAAACAAATTTTCAACCCTAAGGGCTGCAGGTTGCTGACTCAGTTTCCGCTGGGGTCAAAGATTAGGCCCTGGTTCCTGTTGGGACCTTGTCAAATCGCCAAAGTTCCTAGAAGGGTCCCAAAAGGCTCGCCATGTCTGTCAAACATCTACTCCCCCTAAGGAGAGACTCCCAGCCGGCACCCTTGACCTGGCAATTTGCCAACATCGGCTCCAAAGCATCAAGGGCAGTTGCCGTTCAGACGCGTCCTTTCATGAGTTGCGATCCGGCGCCCTAGCGACATCCTGGGACATGTCACGCGCTTGCCACCGGGACATACAGAAAGCTCCATGACTCAGCCTCCCTCTACCAAGATGAAACCGTACCTCAGAGATGCCCCGGAAATCTCCACGAGCTTCCTTCGGGTGCGGTGATGCGTGCAGAGAACGTGCAAGGGGAAACATGCATCCTCCACAAATCGGAGTCCATAGCACCCGCTCAGACACCGGCTGCTGTGGCAAACATCCAGTGAGCATCATCTGATCCTGTCACACGCGGACTCGCGGACTCCCCACTGCTGGGCCCCCCCGACTCTCAAAAGCTTTCAGTCTCAAGAGGGCGTGGATGAAACAAGCCATGCACAGCGGTGTCGCCGGCCTTCTCGCATAAAATGCAACCCATTCGCTGCGGCTGAGTTGCCGTCCTAGTGACAAACTAATCACTCAACAAAGACTGCGGACAAACGCCTTGCCAAGGTCCGAATGGGCATGTGTCAGAATAAGGGTGACCCAAAGCCCCTTCAGCCATGCTGAAAAATGTCCCACAAACACACACCCAAATCAAGCAGCCTACAAGGGGGTTAAATCCGGCAACTGCAACGGGCATTCAGATCCACATTTTATGCTTATTGCTGGGAAACCAGGATAAGTGCGAGCAGGACTTGTTTCTTGTATTGCTGCAAATCACTATTGCGACAAACAAAGTTCGTTTCCAACAGGCCTTTGCATACATGCGCTCAACTGCTACTGATTAACCAGGGTGCGCTCATGTGGGTTTGCTTTCCTGCCTCCAAAGGCAAAGCATCTGTAGGCATGTTCAGCACGCTTGCAACCGGTTACAAGAGAAACGGAGTTCGAGCCTTGTCCTTGCCTGGCACTGCACGACTATATTTGGTGTTACACTACCCCGCAAGCCCATTGAAATCATTTGGGCTCTTATATTGTGGCCATTCGTTGTTTCCTCCGGCGTCACATCGTGAAATCGATTTGCAAGAGGCTTCAACCACGCAGCCAAATGTGTGCAGCCACGTGCCGATAGTGCCACAAGGTTGCCTTGCAAAGGAAAACAGTCCAGAAACATGGTCTTCCAGGGACCTTTCCGCCAATATACCAGCGGCAAGACTTGCGTCGCACACGATGCCCTGGTCACTTTGAATCGTGTGAAGTGACATGGGCACTGGGCGCTCCCCCATTTTCTAAGGCTATCTTGGTGTGCCCCATGCCATCCCCTTTGCTACGCTGGCAGTAACAGGCTGTCGGCTATCCGAACAAGTTGTGTTGACAGGTTTCCAAGAAGCATCCAGCATGCTGGTTCAAGCTTGAGTTGCCCGTCCTCACAAACCTCTCCAGCCCAGCAAAGCGGCACCACCTGACGAAAATTGCATGCGACAAACATATTTCAATTACTCCGGCCATGTGCCGGTTTCTGGCGCCGTGTGGTTGGTGCCCTGAACAAATCTATTTCCTCCAGTAGAGAGGTTAGAATAAGGGTACCCTGTTTTCTGTAGTCTATTTCAGTAGGGGAACCCTCCCCCCAAAAATGGTAAAAGGGCACTACTGGGGGACCTAAAAGGGTAAAACAACGCCCGCTAGTTTCCACGGAACTGTAGACTCATATCAGCTTGGCTGATAAATGCAGGCTCCAAATGGCAAGTCAAAGGTTGGTGGTATTGACATTGGGGGATCCAACGCATTCATTACGGAGAGATCCTGCCAGAATTTTGGTGCTTCAACTAGCCCAGGACAGAAGCAAACTTCAGTTCATGCTGCATTCTTCTTGAACACGGTAATTGGCAGGAGCGAGAACACAGGTCTGCAGGCAAAACAGCTTTTACTCCTTTCTTGTTTTGGTCAGGTTTCGGCGAGCCAGGTGGCTGCATTCGAGTTGGTGCGTGTCTCAATGAAACAAGATACCATCATGTGTGGAAACGTCAAACATCAAATCGCCTGTCGACTTCCCGTTGAATGACAACTTATGGGCTATTTGGCCAGCGGCTTTGCCTTCTGATAGCACTCCATGTATTCCAAAGGTTGTGTCAAAACAGGGGGCCCAACAAATTGATTTGTAGATGTCCTTTAAACCAACCTGAAAAAAGGGTACCCGCAAAAACATCCCCCAATGATCTACGCAAGCATATCCAGCTGTTGTTCAGTCTGAACAAAGGTATCGTAGCACCTCACCCACTCAGCTGATATGCTAAGCTGCCTGTCAGACCAACTTCCCACAGTTGCCCCACGCCTCGCCAGAAAAACCCTCTGCGCAGGTCCATTCTCCGTCCGCGCCCTGCGCGGCGGGGAAAGCCTAATCAAACCATGGGCACCTTCAAGAAAGCAGCAAGACGGCGGCAGCAACAGCACCGCTGTGTCGTGACAAACAAATGCTGCGCCAATCCTTTCTGCGGCATGCGGGAAGCTTGCAACTCCGGGCGCTGTCTTCGGACTCGCTACAACCAATGAAGCGATCTGGCCTCGATTTGATTGTTGAACGACGGGAAAAGTCTGTTTGCAACTTGTAGGCCGCCTATATGCACGCATTTCTGGTTTCCAATGGTTGGGGGGGGGGGGGGGGCATATCCGCCGGCCCAACAAACATCCGATGGACGCAGCAAAGGAAAGCCAAACTGCAACATGTGTGAATGTGTGAAGATAGAGCTGTGGCTTCGGTGATACGGAATGCTTGCGACCTCAAGGCCAAGTGTCTGCCTTGGCATGCCTTGCTCGGGTATGTGTCAAAGCAGGGGACCCTCAATGGTCACTTTGGCTTCCCGTAACATGGGCAAACCCTGAAAGCCTGAAGAAAGCGCATTTGCGACACCCCGCCCCCCGAGTACCGTCGGGAAACCAAAATAGCCCAAAAGCAACCCATGCGAGAGGTGACTATCGCGTGGTGGTACAAAACCTTGACCAGAATTCCTCCTCCCCACGTCACCATGTTCCGTTCCAGGCCGGTGGCATGACCACAAACCCTGAACCGAGCTGTTCGGCAAATGAGGCTACAATGCCCCAAGTGAAAGAAAAGGGTGGCTACGAAACGGGTACAAAACTGTTTGCGGACCGCGCCACAGAAAAACACCAAACCCAAAATTATGCCGAGTGAGGCGCTGAGTTCGGACGTGAAAATACCACGGCACATCCTGACGGGACGGCAGCAATGCCTGCCGGAGATTTTGATTTTCTGGCGGCTCGTCAGAAACAAACTGGCCAGATCTCGGCACCTAGCAAATTTCGGCACCTGCGAAGTACAGCACGTGCAAGAAGCTGACCACGTACCGCTGGACATCAACAGCACTCGATGGACCATGGCAAGGTGCCATCCACCGTGAAAGGTGGTGCCCAGCTGAATCCGTAGTGAAGGAGTGGCCAAAGGTGATGGCCCTGCAGTGCGTCTCGGAGGAAAAGGACCTAGCCTGTACATACAGCAGGGCCGCAAAGAACTCGAACAGTACAGGTTGTAGCTTGGCTCGTACCAACCGATAAAGGGGTTGGATAGCATGAATTGCACCTCCCCTGTAATTACTTGCGACCTTATCCGTGATCGGGGCCAAAGCCCCCGAGGACACAAGACTTGCAGCAAAACGAGCAGAAAGATCGATGTTCGGCAACACGATGCGTCGGGAGCATCGAAGATCAGGGCACTGGGACCTGCAGACGACGCCGAATGCTACAGTTGGCACTACCCGCCATTGCTGGGGCAGGCCTCGAGCGACAATGGCATTATTTGTTTGCTGGCTGAAGGTAGAATGATGAACACACCAAAAGGCAAACAACAAAAAGGTAATCTTCAGCCTGGCAATGAAGAAATTCGGACCCCCGAAACGGCGGTCTTCGTTTCTTGTTTCCCTTTCAACGCACCCCAGAAAGGGTACCCTCAACAACGCGCACCCATGTATCAGCATGTGCCTGCATGGCGACAGACCGGAAACGCTTTTCCAAGAAGCGTCGCGAAGCAGGGGCCAAGTAGGCAAAGCGATCAATGCTCTTATCACTTTGGGCACTGGCAACCGTCCATAGAACCAGGGGATGTGCGCTCAACATGTCGCCCATGTTTCTCTGCACCTTGCCCGTGCGGAATCCCGAGTAACTTGTAGAGTGTCAGCAACTTTTCAACCAATTCAGTACAAACACGGCAAGGGCGGTCCACTTCAACCGGTAAGAGGACCAGTTGCCACTTGAGGAATCGAATCAAAGAACTCCCGTCGATGTCAGGCCTTCGAGTAGCCCCCTTGCCGTTCTAATGGGTCGCAGTCGAAGGAGCAGTTGGGCAAGTTGCCCTGGCCAGGGCATAGTGCAGACAAAAAGACCTTCGTCCTCTAAACTGAGGTGAGCTCGCAATTGTACATGAACCGCTTGGCGTTGCTAAGTGACAGTGACACCATAAACTCCAGTCCCCAGTTGGCCTGATAACACATGGCAAAGTTCATCTCAGCCAGTCACTCGATGCCAAAAACAACTGGAGAATCATCAGGGATGTGAGGCCCGCACAAATAATTTATGCGAGGAGACAGCGAAGCTCCAGTGCAACGCGTCAAACACATTTTGATCCAAACTCACGAACCCATTGTTGATGATTCGATGCATAGGAGGTGTCCATTCAAAAGGGAATCCTTCATCTTCTCAGGCACGCCTCTATTAAATTATCTACCATGTTGATCAATCCGGGGCTGGAGTCAACATTTTCCTGCAAACGGTTGTTTCCCAACGGGGCCGGTCTCCTTTCAAGCTTGAAGTCTGGTGGCGCATGGGAGCCGCAGGCGCCCCTTCCGGTTCTCTGCGTCTCTCATCTGCGGGAATCCGGGTGAAGGTACATCACGGAAGTGACCAGCTAAGAGACAAACTTGCTGGGCCTTGATCGCGCTGTCGTCAATGCAACTCCTCCATTTGCCTAAGTCCCCTGGCAAAATAAAATAAGTCCAGTAGTGATAGATTCCCATTAAAACCAGAGGCAAACAACAAACATTCTTATCTAAATGGAAGAATTGCGGTAGCAAAGAGCAACCCCCCAAAACCCAGAGGGTGTGCCTTCACAGTAAAAGCCGCCAATCATAAGCACGCGCCGTTGGACCTGCCCAAATAGACGAATTTCACACTTCAATGCATGGCTGGTCGCTCGTAAGGATTCTCTTCGGGGCAAGCTCAAAGCGAAACAACATGAAACAAACTATTTGGAGCGGTTGCCAATTGGACTCATGCATGAGCCTCCCCAGTGGCACGCGAGTCTGTCACTCACATCCAATGCAGTAGCAAGCTACAACATGTTGTGTCCAACGGGAGACAAACTGACTTTCATGGTGAAATGGAAAACACTGCATCAAAGCTGACAAAATGCTCAACTACATTGTCACTATTGCTTTCCTATTTTGTTTCTTTAAGTAATACCAAAACAAACGCGTACAGTAATGGAATGAGTTGGTGAACGTGTGACATCTTTGGGGGTCATGCGGCCTCAAGTTGGCCGAAAGTGGGCCAGGTCTCCCAGGTCCGTGAGAATCTTCCATACTTGGGCGACCCCAATGGGTGTGTCTCTTTTTGTTTGTACCAGTCTTTGTGGCGTTCCAAAGGAAAGCATGGAAGAAAACACAAGGACACACAAGGAAAACCACCATTTTGGGGAGTGCCCTATCCCGATAATAAATTAAACAAAGAAGACACACCCAAATGGGTTACCAACAGCTGGGTTCTAGGAAAACCAAACAGTACGTGGGTTCGATGCATTGGCAAAGCAACGCTCCAACGGAGAAAACAAAATAATAATAAGAATAATAATAACAAATAATAATAGTATTATAATAACACAACAGAACCAAACGCCCTCACACCCCAAAGAGTCGCCTGCAACGGCAGCTGGGCGTTGAGGTTGCTGGCGGGACAGATCAAGGACTCGTAGTAGGGCATGCCCTCCTGGCCGCGCGCAGTGTCTCGGCGCGTGTGCTGAAGGCGCAGGTCCCACCGTGGTGACTGGTTCCACTTTTGAGGTGGGGGGTGGCATTAAAAAGGGTTCAACAATAAGTGATTTGTTTGTTTCTTGTTTTTTAGTGAAATGGGTGTTTCGCGGAAAGTCAACTGGACACCTTTAGCCTTTTGAGAGGTCCAACGCAGGAATCCCGTGAATTCCTATCCGGCTCTATCGGCCTGGCCACCGTAGATTCGGGGTGCCAGGCCAGTCCCAAGAAATCACCGGCTGAGCCCTGCAATGGCATGACTGACCCGTACGTATCGAGTGTCACACCCAAACATGGCCAGATGATGGGTTACTTGCTCACGTGAAGGAAAAACGGCTTAGCTCTAGGTCCTCCAGTAGAGAGGTTGGAATAAGGGTACCCTTTTTTCTGTAGTCTATTTTAGTAGGGGAACCCTCCCCAATAAAAAGGGCACTACTGGGGGACCTAGCCAAAGATCTGGGTCTTTTCACGATTTTGGCAGCACCCAGACCCAGCCTGGGGCGAGCAGGGAGGTCGGCAGCTCACCTTGGTGACCAAATGAAGCCTGGAGATGACACACAGTGTATGTGATAAATATCATTGTATATAATATACATATGTCTATATCACGTGCGTATATAAATATAGTTTTACGCTTGCATGTGTGAACTTGTATGTAGACATATATATATATATAGTATAGGATGTGCTTGTGTCTGTACTGCATGAAGAACTTGAGCAGTGCTCATTTCATTTTTTCTTGTGGGGGCTATCCCCTGGTGAGAAAGATCCACACCCCCTGCGGATTCCGCTTGCCTCTGACACTGCGAATCTTAAGAGAGGGGCAATGACCATCCTCCAAAGCGAAGCACACAAACGCCTGGGTCTACACAGCGATTGAAGAACACCATATTGATGAGGTTCCTGGTCTGAGAAAAGACGGCAGCCAAAGGGTGTTGGTCTTGGGGTCACATCGAGCATAGACAGAACGTAGATGTGTGTGTGTGTGTGTGCGCTGTCTGAAGTGATGATATCTGGGATTGGGATGGGGATTGGGATGTAGCATCATGTTGTTTCGTGTGCCCAACAGCATGCTCGCAATTTGTACCGCAAACAAAGCTTGTCATGAATACAACAAGCTTCCACAAAGTCAACTCTTTCCCTCGGCAGCTTTTCTGGCTAAGCTCCTGCAAGTTGTGGCAAAACACCATCCCAGCAAGAGTCAACACGATCCTTGTAGACAGGCTTTTGGCTTTTGCATATCCTATAAAAAAATTGGCATGGAACATCAACAAGTGGTCTAATCCCAAAAGTACCTTCCCCACAAATGAGTGCTTTTTGGAGCTCGCTTGCTCTCTCGGGGAAAGGATCCAACAAAATCAGGTGGATACCAAGCATCGCTGATCCAACGTGTTGGCGGCTACCTCATCCAGAACAAGAGTCACACATTTCAGAATTGGGCCGTGTGAAAGAGATGCATTCCATTCTACCGTCCCCAAACAGGCGCATATTATATGAGTGTCCTTTTTTCGGGGCCCTCATGTTGGGGTCCTTTCAAAGGGACACCAAAAAAAAAAAAACCACCCATTTTGGAGGTTCCTATTTTGAGCCAACCCTGCCGTTCCATTTTGGCCGCCGGGCGGTACATCTCCCGCCCGGGCCACGGCCGAAGTTTGCCTGCGGGAAGGTGGGGTCCTCGATGTTGCACGCCTGCGTCGCTGCAGTCAAATTTGTGCATCGGCGGTTCTTTGGGCTGATCTAGATCCTCCAGTAGAGAGGTTAGAATAAGGGTACCCTTTTTTGTAGTCTATTTTAGTAGGGGAACCCCCCTCCAAAAAAGGGTAAAAGGGTGGGGGACCTAGACATGACTGCTCCGACCTGGTGTCCCAAGGGGCACAATTGTTGAAACGGCGGGTTGCAACCAACTCTGTCCGCCATTGAGCCCCAAGTGATCGAGTCCAGAAAGCGATCGAGTCGACTATACCGAAGCGAAGCTCCGGTCTCTTTCCAGGGATTCCAGAAGCAGAAGCAAAGGGTTTGCAGAATTCCCGAATGAGCTAACAGACATTGTTCAAAAGAAAAGAAGGGCTGAACGCTTGTGCGGCTATTCAGGACTCTGATGTAGGCAAGCATCAGGAAGTTGGCATTTGCAATAGAGCTTGCCGCCAGTTTCACTTCAAAATACAATCAGGACCGCGCCATGATGTGATTCACTGATAGCACACATCGTAGTTAGCCACACTGAGCGCCGTTTATACCCCCAACTCTCATTTGACTCGCGTCAAGGTCATGGATAGCATTCAGCGGTACAAACACCAGCTGCGAACAGAGTGGACATTTGCGGCGCTCGGCTTCATGTGGCGCCTTGGGCAAAAACAAGTGTGCCAGGCCCCCAACGCCACTTCGACCGAAAGGTACCTGTGGGGTCACATCGAAGAAGCAGGAGCCAGCAGCATGGCTCTCATTCCTCGGAGCGGGACTCACCTCTTTCAAAGCTTTGGGTCACCTGATTTTGAGACAGACTCCTGCAAATATTTTGGAGGTCCAACCAGGCAAACGCCTATGTGTCTATAGGGTGGAGGATGTCAGAGCCAAAAAGTGAAGAACACCAACTTATTGGAGGGCCTTACTCTGGCACTACGTCGTTTCCGTGAAGATCAAGGTTGCCTGCAGCACCACTTCTCTCCAGCTTCCTCGAACACAACGCACGGAGGGCAGAGTTATATTCCCAAGTTCTCGTGTTGTCCAGCTTTTGCTTGGCTTTCTCACGCGCAGTGCATATATTCCCAAGGCTCAAGTTGCTCCAGTACCCAAGGAATGATTGATTTGTTTTGTCTTTTTTGTTTCCTTTCACTTTGTTTGGAAAGCCCTATCTGACTAGGTGAGTTGACTTGCCAGACAAGCTTGAACTTTTGGGCCCTGGACTAAAATGATACAGTACCCTTCACAAAAAAAGCAAGTTTTTAGTTAGCAAAGCTCTAAGTTTGCGAACTCAACAGGTAATGTCGCAGGATGCATATCCCGGTTGGTTAACAGAACAGGGCGTTCCCATTTGAGGGGAAGCGCCTTCATTTTTGGAGTAGACACACCCCTTTGGTTTCTGACGGGTTGATACTTTCCAAGGTCCACTGGGGTATGTTTACGGCCAAAACGTATGTGTTGCCCGCGACCGGATGCGGGTCCCCGAGACCTCCAAAAAGCGTGGCAGGCAAAGCGAACACGCACTTCTGAGCCCCCTGAGCCCCACCCCAGCTCCATGCTCCTTACCCCCTTCATGGAGCACGGCGACTTTTCCTGGTTATATACTGCTGTCATCAACACAAACCTAAACCTAAACCAGACAAGCAAGCCTCGGATGCACCGGACAGCCAGCTCCAAGCCGACCAAAACCGTAAACCTAAACCCTAAAAACCCTAAACCTAAACCCTCAAAAACCTAAACCTAAGCCCTAAAAAACCTGAAAACCCTGAACACCCTAAACTAAACCCTAAAAACGCCTAAACGTAAATCCATAACAACCCAAAACCTAAACCCTCAAACCCTTAAACCTAAACCCTAAAAACCCTAAACCTAAAGCCTAGAAACCTTAAACCTAAACCCTAAGCACCCTAAACCTGCCAGCACGATCATACAGCATAACAAGACCCTGTGGGCGACACGAATGTTTTGTGGGTATTTTTACTTCCAGTTCACCCTTCGTGGGTCGGTGAGCTATAAACTGTGCTCTCCTGAAAGTTCCCCTCCAAGTGGCTAGACGGGAAATCGCCAGATCCACAAGTCATTTAGAGACTCAACATGAGGATTACACAAAGTGCCGTCCCAAAGAAGGCACCCAAAAGCCGGGCCCAATTCCAATTCTGGGGTATGAAAAACGCATTTCCCGATCCATACTTTGTGACTCACAAACACTTCACTATTTTTGGAGACCACAGAAACCCAGACCCCAGTCAATTTCCAGGGGCAAAACGAGTTGGCACTCCTTGTTTGGCTGAATTTAACGGGCTCTAAGTCTACCCTCCCAACAGAAAGTCTCTGAAGCATTGGGTTGAACCACCACTGGGTCCCAGTTGCAAGCCCACGCAGGGAGAGCTCTGGCCGCAGCCCGTCAAGGCCACCCCGAAGCTGCAGTCCTGAAGAACGACCCGCTCCCAACAAAAAAAATGGGATTCCCACAGTATCCATTTTTGTAGTTGGGATCCCACTTTTGGAATCCCACATCGGGAAGTTTGGGATTACCATGTTTTAATAAGTTTCGGATTCCCGACGGTTCACACCAGCTAAAAGGGGGCACAACAACGAGCAGAGGGGCATCTGTGGACTTCTCAAACAGGAAAAGCAAAAGGAGAAAACCATCGGTCTCCAAATAACTTCTAACAAGAAAACCATGTGAAACCAACCAAGAGAGGGAGTCCTAAGTTTAAGACAAACCTAAATCGCAACAGCTGAATGCTGCGATTTAAACATGTGCCAGGCCAAACCAGGATCTTTTTCACAACCTGAATGAGAACCGCTCATCCATGTAGCAGCTGGACTGCAAGAGCAGCTGCAGCAATGTGTGCCATCTGTTCTCAAGGGCTGAAAGCAGGATTTTGAGTTTGCGGAATTTGGGTGTGCTGGCTTCTCAGGCCTCAGTGCCGGCGTTGACGTCTGTACGCGCAAGAAATTTGACTAGCGACTGGCGCCTGATCACAGCATCCTGATTTGTTCAGGAACGCAGCACGCATCGATCAGCCATGAACCGATCTCGCGGCTGTGGCTTCATTCTGCCAAGCTGTCTGATCATAGCCTTCTGACCCCCTGAAAGATGGAATTCGCAGAACTGTGCGAACTGCGCACAACAAGATAACGCCCAGTAAACACAGAAGACAAGCACCTTTGCTGATACTGTTCATTTTAAGTTGGGAAACATGTAGAAAATTGGTGCCTCCCTTTACTTCTGGGAAGCCTCGACTTGACAACATGGCCTGAGGGCTTCAACCCTATCATGGCGGGAAATACACTATTGTTGCATACGGGATGCGCGTATCACAGAAAGCAGGTTTAAAGCCCAATGTACAAAATCATGTACCCTCTCAAAAACAAACATGAAACACGAACAAACACCCGTAGATGACCAGTTGGTTCTTCCCGAACCCTTGCGTTGGTTGCAAATCTGAGCTCCGAAAATGACTGGTCCGTCCTCGCTGTTGGTGATGCACTCCGCATTAGCCGAGCCAAACCACCCATCTTGGCACACGTAGCTGCCACCGGTGTAGTTGTAGCCATCGGGTAGGTCCTGCGACCCGAAACCAACACACAATATGTCCTGTGGAGTGCCATGGCCGAGAAAATGGGCGCCGTATGGCGCATTTCAAGCAGAAAGCCTTCTCCTACCAAAGGCAAACCACGCGCCACTCGTGGGATCGAAATTTGTGCTTTTGCGTGCTGGTCTTCACTCGCAGGCACAGGCCATCCACGGCCTGGTGCTTTTGGAAGCAGGCAAGACTTCCTCAAATCGCAAAAAAGGGGAAAGGGAACCGGAAGATCAGTGCACTTTGTGCTTTGTGCTGACGCTAAAGCTGTTGAACTCAACCCATTCATTTCCCAAACGACAGGACCATGAAGGAACCAAGAATATAAGTACTATCTAGACCTAACTGAGGTCGCAAACGAAGGGCTCAACCAAAAGGCCCATGTTCACACCGAACGCCCGCCAGTTGGCTTCTCAAAATGGGAAAACACATAAAATGGGTGGTGTCCTTCTGTTTCTCCTCACACCAAAGTAAGACGGGCATACTCACTTGTACCCAGCTTTACCCAGTTTCAGTCAGTTGCGTACCCAGTTGCATCCAAGACATGACAGTTGTACCCAAAAACCTTGGTTGCTGTTGACCCGTGCAAAAAGTTTAACTTTTTCGGGGTTTAGTGGAAAACACCTTTATTTCAACCAAAAAGTTAAAGTCCAAAGATCCAACCCAATAGCAGTCAAGCAGTTGCATCCAAGCCAAGTTGTACCCAAAAAACCGCCGTTTTTCCCGGGCACCGTGGCGCGCTCAAGCCAACCAGGCGACGGCTCGAACCGCTGGACCGAGTTCCTCTTGAGCTGGGGGCGGGCATCGCAGCTCGCAAGTGGGCGGCACGAAGTCCTCAGCCACGGCAGGGCGGGTTGGTAGGGCGTTCACAAACTCAGTTGTTCACCTCCATTTGCTTAAGTCCCCTGGAAAAACATGAAGAAAAAAAAAAGTAATTAGTGATAGATTCCCTTAAAAACCAACAGGGGAAAATAATACATATTCCTAACCAAATGGAAGTTCAGTGACCCTGGAAAAAAAGGGAACCCTTTTTGGGGAAGACCATTTTTAGTGGGGCAGTCACCCAAAAAAAAGGAAACAGGGTGCCACTGAACAACTGAGCAAAAGAAGTCTACTACTTCATCACTGCGGGGTTTCCCTTGGTATCTCAGGGCTGTAAATGTGCATCGAGGGGACCCATATCCGCCACTGTTGCGGGCTTGCCTCTTCACGTCATGGCCGTAACCCCAACCTGACCAAAGTGAGAAGGGTACCCTCAACACAGACAACAACGCGCAAACACAAACCCACACACACACACAGACACCTACATGCAGGCACAGAGGCACACAAGCAGAGGCCCCCGCTCAAAATCCTAAAGCCTGAAACTGAAACAGGCCAAAGCCGATGGAAGAGCCGGTTTGCAAAAATTGCAAATCAACAAGCACATGGATTTTGCATGTTCTGCAAACTGCTTAGAGGGAAACTGATAAAGAGTTTTTAAAGGAGCTTTCTAGGGAGTAGAGCAACTGTCTGTCCTCAAGATTCAGGCCAGGCACATGCTGCTAGCACATGGACTGAAGAGGATTCCTAGAAACATCTCCAACCTTGAAACCTCAATTCAGGACGTGCTGGCGCGCGCTAGCGCATCCTCGCCCTAAGCGAATCTTAACACTACAAGGCTTCCTAGTCTGACAGGTTGTTTCTCTTACTCTTACTGGGGAAAGGTTAAACAAGGTAAAACTGCCCGAGGTAAAACAACAAACAACAACTATGTGTCTGACAGTTCATCATTTGAGCATTGTTTTTTTTAGAGGTTCAGGGCTTATACACTGCTGGGGAGGCTACGCGGGGGGCTTCGCGGGGCCAGAATTTGTGGAAGGGTTGGCTTCGCGAGGCTTCGCGGCAAGACTGTGGCTTCGCGGAGTGGCTTCGCCGGGCTTCGCGGATGTTTGTTCCACAAACATCTCTCACATTTGCGCCCCCATGTTGTTGAATCAAGTTGAGTCCATGCGAAAGGGTTCGATGAAAGGCGGCAAGAGAGGCATTGAGCTTCAGGACTAGGGGACATGGCTGGGCCTCAAAGGGGCGGAGCATGGCAGTTGGACCGCGGTGGCTTCGCGGAGGCTTCGCGGGGGCTTCGCGGGGGCTTCGCAGAGGCTTTGCGAAAACGTTCCATCGTTTCTAGCAAAACCGAGTCTGAAACGCACAGTGCTCTTCCGGTCGTCTTCCCGTAATCTTCCTGTAATCTTGTCGTAGCCTGCTGACTCTAAACATCAACCTTTGGAATACTACTGCCATGAAAGCGCACAACACACTTGCCATGAAAGCACGCAGTACGCTCAAACGACGAAGTGGCTTCGCGAAGTGGCTTCGCCTGTGTCAATGTTACCGGGCTACGCGAAGTGGCTTCGCGGGGCTTCGCGGTACACAATGTATCGCACAAGTGCCTTCGCGGAGCGTTTTGGAGTTCCCCACGAAGCTAAAATCCATCATCTGAGAAAAAAACGCTGCTCATTTGACGTTTCATGGGGCCAACCGTTCTACTCTCTTTGAGCAAAGACACCTGTGTCGTTGTGCCCAACAAATGTAAAAATGGCACACTTACCAGAAGCAAGCAAGAACACCTTGTCTGGAGTTTTGTTTCATCTTCCCACTGCCAAATGAAACACTGTTTGTTTCGCTTGTTCTTTGGAGGAACTCTCTCTCTCTCTCTCTCTTTTCCTTTTGTACATATGTATATACATACATATACTAAACCGGTGTCTACACACACACACACGGATGATTATCTATGTATATATATATATATATCCACACTCCGTATATCCTGGTGCCCGGCGCGAAGCCATGAGGTCCCGGCCACCACGAGGAAGGGGTCCAAGTTCCCATAGGGACAGGAGCCGTTGGTGGCCAGGCCCTCGCGTGTCGAGTCGGCTTCGAGTCACACCGAACACGAGTCCTCGGCGTCGTGGAGTGGAGGCCTTTGGAGATTGGTTTCCCCCCCAAAATGCTTTGGGCAAAACTTTTAGGAACCCAGTGGCCCTGACAAAGGGGAGCGTTTCTGAAATTTGGCTCCCAGTCTTAATGAACCCAAACCAAACGGGGAAACAGAGTACCACTGAGCAACTGGCAACCCGAGAATTAATTCCCAAGAAAATCACAGCCCAAGGCAATTCATTTGTATCTCCTTTTCGGAACCGTTTTTTGAGTTTCATGTTAGCTAATAGGAACCGTCTCGGCCTTTGAACTATTTTCGATCTTTGGCGCAAGGCGGAACTTTTTGCAGGAATTCAGCGCTTTCAGGCCGGGGGCGCTTTGCCAAGCCCTTGCTTACGTTATACATCTGCTGAAGCAGCCTGAGCGGATGGGCCGGAAAAAGTAAAACTTGTTGCTTGCCGCTAAACATGTCTAAGCTCAAGTGACTAAAATCCAGGAACTCGGGAAGTTAGTTGCTGAAACCTCCTTTTGGTCTGCCTTTTGAAGCTTTAAGGAGAAAGTAAATTTCCAAAGGGGCCAAGTTGCTGAAATCTTCGACGTGAAACTGGACGCATCTTGCGCCAGTGCGAAATGGCCCAATCCGAGCGCGCATATTCAAGCCGAATCCGAGTTCAGCAAGCCGAACACGAAGCGTGCAGAGGTTCAAAAGCCTTTGCGAAGCTTCGGCATCTTTTGAGGCACGCAACTGCGCGGAAAGGGAAGGGAGTCATCAAAAAGACTTAAGAACGCGTGACTCGTTTACTCGTTTCCCCGTTTCCGGCCGCACTCATGCAAAGCGCTCTTGCCTGAAGTGGGAATGTTCGTGACGCGAGTCACTTCCAACACAAAGGACGCTGAAGGAGGCCAAGGTTTAGACGAGAGGTAATGTTTACCGTCGGTACTGGAACACTGTTTCGGGAGTTTAATATCTGAAGCAACTCCCTTGCGCATGCCCTGTATCAAGCATAATATGCGCTAGCAAATCGTGGTAGCAATGAGTTCCCCGCTTAAGCATTGCTTCCACATCATATAGTCCAGATCTGGTGCAACAAATTGACCACCCGGCTCAACCATCGATCATCGTCGTGAAATGCAGAAGCAGCAACCTTTTTTTTGGAATTCAGCCCAGCATCACTTTATCAATTCAGGCAGTTTGCTCACAATCTCAAAGACAGCACTGCGCAACACTAGTTATCGTCAGTTCCAACAGGGTCCATCAGCCACCATGATCCAAGCACTCCATAGCGGTGGGGGGAGGGGCTTCTTCCGTTGATGGACATCTCACATTCGCTTGGTACTTTTCCCGTGCTACATTCCCAGACAAATCCTGAAACTTAAGTCCGCCTTGGTGAGACAACCCTGAAAACCTCCCCAGCGTTTGGGGCCTTTCTTTTGAGGGAGCACTTTTGGGGATGGTGCTAAAGGGAAACCAAAAGAAGCCAGCCAATTTGGGGTCCGATGTTGACACATGCCCATCTTAGCCGGCAAGGCGCGGGACCCGCGCCTCGTAGGGAGGACTTCTGCAGCGGATGGAGCAGTTGGTGCCCGAGAGAACCTGGCAGCGCGAGCTCTGATTGAGGAATGGACCAGTGGGTAGGGACCCGTTGATTCCTCGTCCATTCTTTTCAACCATCGTTCTTTTCCAAACCCAGCTGTTTCCCTGGGCCTTTCATGGTTTCCTGAAAAGAAGGATTGGAAAGAATGGGGACGGTACCCCTAGAATATGGGTAGTTTCATGGTGGTCTGACATCCGGAGCTTGCACCGGCTTCAGATTTCCCATCCCGCTTAACCAGGCGGATGGTTTGAACGTGGCCAGGCTGGCGCCGTTGCAGTCGGAGGTATCATATATGCACCTGGGCGAGAAAAGAAAAAGCACAGGCCTAAGGAAACTCTGGTGGCTGCACACTCCACCGGGGATGGGCGAAGCCCGATTTGAATACTGGGAGAACCCCTTTAACTGGTGCAGAACTTCGTCTATCCGCAGGTCTTCCAAGAATCCAAAGCCATTGTGAATGCCGGGCTTTGGAGTCTCGATTGCCCTATCGTCATTGTGGGGGATTTGACACTGGTGACCCTCTTCTTATGGGTTGGCACGCGTTTCATGCCGTTTGACCTTAGAATCCTCGGAATCATGCGAATCATCTCGATACTCCTTTTGGGTCGCGGTCATGGATAGAAACGTCTGTGTTGGTCGTCGGAATCCTTGAAGGGCTAGCCCTAACCCCACACAAAACCGATGTCTGCAGCATATGTTGAGACAGAAACACAGCAAGTGTATGTCAAAATAGGGGGACTCAACATTGGCTTGCCATGCCTTCCTTTCCAAGGTAATTAAGCCCAAACAAATGCACGCGCACAGAACACAAAACTCGTTTCGCCGATTCCAAAGCACAAATTGTCGCCGGCTCGCTGTATTTGAAGGGGCTCGCTGGTCAAAGCAAGTTGGGTTCAGAGCCGCGAACTTGGGCGAAGAATTTGGGATTCCCCCGACCTTCCCACGGGTGCCGTTCCATGGGGTTCTGACCCCAAGGGTATGTGTCAAGAGGCCGCTGCTTTTGGATCCTGAGAAGGTGGGAAGGTGGAAAGGGTCACCTAAAAGAATCACATTGCGGCTCAAAAATAGAGACCCCGCATGATTCGCTGGATGGAAACAGTGCCTATCTGCGGTTTTCCGGTTCTTAAACAAAAAAGGAGCCATAGCCACCTCCCCAAAAACACTTCAGAAACCGCGCCCAGTTGCGTACTGAGGGTGGGCGGCAGGCAGCTTGCCATGGGCTCACAGCCTGTAAGCACCACCCGCGCCTGGAGTCAGGCTTCGCACCTCAAGTCATGAACTCAATTTGGGGTCCGAAATGAATGAAACAAACTGAATACATGATTTCATGAAACAAAGATACAAGATACATTCTTTTTCACTTAACCCAACTGTTGGTCGGCAGAGAAGCGACCAATTTCGCTGGTGTACTTATTGGACTTTAGCTGATTTCTGCTGATGCACCCGTTTTCCCAAGCCATCGTGCACAGTGCCGGCAAAGAGGACTCAGACCCAGGGTCGATGTTAAAACTTTGAGCCGAGGAATCAGAACCAAAGGCTCTCAGCTTGAGAAATCATGTTTCGGCTGAGAGAAGCAGCGTGGGTCCTTTCGACCACTGCCAGAGATTGCCAGACATGGCTCTCTTTTAAGGGCCGGCCTGGATGAACACAAGGAGAGGACTCCAAAATGGGCTCAGGCAGCCTTCACAACGGCCTTCAAGAAAAGCACGGCCTCCTCCTTCAAAGCCTCATAAACCTTCTCGCCTGACTCGAAGTCGAAGTGCTCGTTCCTGTCGACGTCGTCCATGAAGACACTTCCCTTCTGGCCCGCCGGTTTCACCTTGAGCTTTGTGAGCCATGCATCTGCTTCCTTCTCATTCCAAAGGTAGACGCAATGCTCTTTGGCGCTCGCGGGAGGGTCAAAGGGCTTGTCAGCCGCGGGCTGATCGCACATCCACTTCCAAGCACAATCCTTCAGGCCTTCCGCCCACTTCTTCGCATCTTTCTTGTCTTCCCACTCGACTTGTTCCATCACCAGCATGGCACCATTCCTTGGTTGACGTTGCAAGGGGAGCAAAAATGTAAAAACAAATCTTAGCAGCGAAGTGGTTGGATTTCCACCTCACCACAAATAAGCCAACAAATGTCAAAATGGATTTCAACCACTCAACCACAAATAAGCAACAACATGTCAAAATGGATTTCGACCACTCAACCACAAATAAGAAAAACAATCAAAATGGATTTCCACCACTCAACCACAAATAAGCAAAACAGCATGGCACCATTCCTTGGTTGACGTTGGAAGGGGAGCAACCATTTATTGTTTAGCAATTAGATGAGGATTTCAACCACTAAACCACAACAACAACAACAACAACAACAACAACAACACCACCACCATCACCACCACCACCACCACCACCAACAACAAGAACAAGACCAAGACCAAGACCAAGAGCAAGAGCAAGAGCAAGAGCAAGAGCAAGAGCAAGAGCAAGAGCAAGAGCAAGAGCAAGAGCAAGAGCAAGAGCAAGAGCAAGAGCAAGAGCAAGAGCAAGAGCAAGAGCAAGAGCAAGAGCAAGAGCAAGAGCAAGAGCAAGAGCAAGAGCAAGAGCAAGAGCAAGAGCAAGAGCAAGAGCAAGAGCAAGAGCAAGAGCAAGAGCAAGAGCAAGAGCAAGAGCAAGAGCAAGAGCAAGAGCAAGAGCAAGAGCAAGAGCAAGAGCAAGAGCAAGAGCAAGAGCAAGAGCAAGAGCAAGAGCAAGAGCAAGAGCAAGAGCAAGAGCAAGAGCAAGAGCAAGAACAAGAACAAGAACAAGAACAAGACCAAGACCAAGAAAGACCAAGACCAAGACCAAGAAAGACCAAGACCAAGACCAAGACCAAGACCAAGACCAAGACCAAGACCAAGACCAAGAACAAGAACAAGAACAAGAACAAGAACAAGAACAAGAACAAGAACAAGAACAAGAACAAGAACAAGAACAAGAACAAGAACAAGAACAAGAACAAGAACAAGAACAAGAACAAGAACAAGAACAAGAACAAGAACAAGAACAAGAACAAGAACAAGAACAAGAACAAGAACAAGAACAAGAACAAGAACAAGAACAAGAACAAGAACAAGAACAAGAACAAGAACAAGAACAAGAACAAGAACAAGAACAAGAACAAGAACAAGAACAAGAACAAGAACAAGAACAAGAACAAGAACAAGAACAACGACGACGACGACGACGACGACGACGACGACGACGACGACGACGACGACGACAACAACAACAACAACAACAACAACAACAACAACAACAACAACAACAACAAAAAAAAAAACAAACCAACCAACCAACCAACCAACCAACCAACCACCCACCCACCCACCCAACCAACCACCCACCCAACCACCCAACCAACCAACCAACCAACCAACCAACCAACCAACCAACCAACCAACCAACCAACCAACCAACCAACCAACCAACCAACCAACCAACCAACCAACCAACCAACCAACCAACCAACCAACCAACCAACCAACCAACCAACGACAACAACCAAGAACAACTGAAATGTCAAAATCTGTCCCAACAACGACCATGATTCACCTTCTCCGGCACCTTGCCGCCCAGCAACCTTGGCTGGAACTAGGACCCCAGCAAAACAAAAGAAGCCTGGTTAGAAGAAAACACAGGGGACCCCAACAAGGCAAAAAGGGGAAGCAACTTGGGGGCCCCCTAAAAGCAAAAAAGCAAAAAAGCCAAAAGCGAAAACAAAACAAAGGGGGAGCCCTAAAAAGGGGAACTCATTTTCTGGGGTTTTGCCTGGTTGGAAAACACAGGGGACCCCACAGAAGCGGAAAAGAAGGAGGAGAAGACTCGTTTTCTGGGGCTTAGCAACTTGGGCAAGACCTTCTTGCAGGTGCTCTCGTCCCACATGAAGACGGCGCGCTGCATCTCCGTGGCCTCCTCCGAGTTGCCCACCTGACCGGGCGAAAGGAGCAGAGAAGCTTGAGGCCAAAACAAAAACGCTGGGGCCCCGGCCCATGGTTTTTCACCGAACTTGGTGTGTCTTTTTAGTCTTTTTGCAAGGGTACCCGTTTTTGGTTGCTGGAAAGGGAAACCATAAAAAAAGACTCATGTTGGGGGGGTTCTCCTAAATACATTTAATCAAACTTGGGCTTGGCAATGAGCTTCCGAGCGACCTTCTTGATGGGATCAAGCTTTGCGCCGCCAGAAGTAGAAGCCTTCGGCTTCTTCTGATGTTCCTCTGCGGCCGCGACGATCTTCTTCATCACTTCAAGGGCTTCTGGATCCATCTTCTCAGCGATCTCATCGATGTCTGCCTCAACTAAGCTAGTAGCGACCTCTGAGTCATCGAGCCCTGTTACTAATCAACCTCCCTCAAGCATTGGTTCGATCCTGCTGCGGAACATGATCATCACTTGGGGATGTATATAGCCCCCCCCCAAAAAAAACGGAGAAAAAAAGAAGAAAACAAGTGCCTGCTGACTGTTCAGGCACGTCAGGCAATTTGAGACAGACGCTACTATCGGGCTTATTTCACAATGTTGGCAGACTTGCACAAATAGTTCATTGAGACTTTGCACCAGTACAAGCATTGTTTGCTTCCACTTTCTTGCGGATTTTCTGTGTGATTCCTCCGCTTGATCCCTGTTCAATCAGATCATACATACCGTAGTGAGAAACTGACTCCATCTCAGCACCGGAAGCAAAGTTAGGTACATCTCTGAAGCTTCCAAACAGGTCAGAAAATAAACCGTATGTTTCAAAGACAGATCGCGATACTATCCCAATATTTGCTCATGTCGACATGTCTCCATAGTACTGATCCTCACTGAATTGACCGTAAAACATATCTTCAGGTACAGGGCTCCCTATATTTCCCCTTAGAACATCACCCCCACCAAGAGACACTCACCTTTCATGGGCCAACCAGGTGATGCTTAAAACCGCCAAAAAGGCAAATATGACCTGCCACATGTGCAAATGCGGGCACAGTTAAACGCTCAAATTTGGGGTGCCGGAAAAGGGGATGGACATCACCCAGCCGTACTTTCTATGCGGGGGTCCCACATGCACATATACTGACATATTGTCTCGTTTCAGGAGCACGTTTTTGATTCCAAAGGGAGGGTACTTGAATCAGAGGTCGACAAGATCATGGTGGACAGTGGACAGATCTGGGCCATTTGGTGTTGATCTTTCGACATATATCCATCATGTCGGCATGTTGGTGTTTGAGAGAGATAAAGCCAACACGGGCACCCATTTTCTGGCTATCCACCATGTCGGTATACTGGTATTGTAAAGGCATGAAGCCCACATGGGCACCCATACTTTGTCTATATGGCCATGGGTCCAAATCCAAGTCGTACCTTCAGTGAACATCTCAATCCCCACTAAAATAGACTAAAATGGGTGGTGCACCTACCCCAAATGGTACGTACCATTGGTTTTGACCCACATAAGTTAAGGGCAAACGGGGAGTCAACCCACCTGGAGAGGTTCCCATTTTGGGACACACCCATGCCGGTCCTGCTTGATGTCCGAGGGCTTCTTTGATGCGACCGAACCACCTGCCCCCATGACGAAGCTGAGAGTCTGAGAGCGGAAGCTGAAGCTGTCAACGCTTGAGCCAATCTGCCTGTGCCATGCCTCACTGAAACGGGGAGTCGCAGCGCCGTTTCGGGTCCCAAGAAGGGCCTGGTGAAAGTTGGCAGGTCATGGCCTGTGGTCATTTCTTGGGAATCTTATGCTTGTCTAAAATCCCCCAAGGCATTGACCGTCAACAAGTAACGGGTGTTTTCACCAAGGGACGCGGGAAAGTATGGCGAAACTTTCTCAGTGGCCGCGGGGAGAAGCAAATACGCATCCTTTTTGGGGGGGCTTCCGGAGCAAAAACAACCCAAAAACAACAAATCACCAACTCTCAGAACCACCAATGCCTTTGATACCAGAGACATCATTTGTGCAAGCCAACATTCAAACATCACCTTTTCCAAAAATGGCTCGGATAGAACAAACACTAGTAGATTGGTGCTTTTGTTTATGTACAGAGTCCTTTGATCCTCTTTTGTTTGGGAAAACTCATTTCAAAAGACTTTCACGAACCCCCCCTGTAGCGGACCTGAAAAGTGCTTTTTGTTTCACTGAAACGACTATCCCCTTTGTTGTGGTTCAACTAATCTGGAAGTTACCCGTACCACTTCCCCCAGCTCTACTTGCGCTTTTCAACCCGCCTCGCAAATTGATGTGCGTGTGGCGCTTGAAAAGATAGATACCACCTCGGGGAAACTGCGGCTGGCTCAAAGTTATGAAGTAAACTTTCAACAAGGTGTCCATTTGAACATGACCCAAAAGAGACTCAGTAAAGATTGGCGCCAAAGGCTGATCTTCAATCAAACAAAAACTAGCACAACCCGTGAGGGGCAAAGGAGATGTTTTCAGAGCGAACACCATCCGGCGCAAAATGTCAGCTAGATTTCTTGTGGTGAGTTGGGTCATGGGCATGGTTCCCTTGACAGCCTTTGCAGCGGTCTGAATCCCCTAAGTAGATGACCATCCCCACCACACGGCAATAGTTGCCTTTCGCCGATGGCGCACTTAAGCAACAGCGATGGCATCTCGAGCAGGATGAGGCAAGCAGATAACAACCGAGTGGGCTTGACTGGACCCTCGTGGTTGAGCTGGGATACCAACCAGGAAAGAAAACCAACCGAAAACAAAAGGGACATCAACTTCAACCAAGACAACAACAAAAACAATACGAGCCCAAAACATAAACCGAACCAAAAAAGGAAACCAAAAAGAGGAGACCAACAAGCAAACCGCGGCCGTCCACAAAACTATGGGCTGGCATCTGCACTCGTCCGCGCAACACAATGATGAACACAACCACACTTACACACACAGACCCCCAAACCCACCAACCAACAAACGAACAAGCAAAGACGCAACAAGCACCCTGCCAAGAAACAAATGATGGACCAGCTGACAAACTCAAGACACGAACTACTGTAAAGAATCAAGCCGAATCAAGCCAAACAATCAAACCAACAAAGCAAACACACCAAGCAAACAAAACCAAGAGCCACGCGGAGAACTCAAAGTTCGTCTCAAAAACTCTAAAACTATGACGTGTCTCCTGCGTCCATCCCCAAACATATTAAAGCCCATGGGGAAAACTAAGCCCAACCCAGAACAAGCAAGAACGGGGTGATTCATAAACTGACTTTGCGAAACAATCACGAGTCTGGACAAACTACTACCACCCGGGACTCGGGGACCCCAGTTTCGCTGGTAATCGCGAAGCTCGCAAATCGAGCGACCGCTCTTTTGAACGTCTCCTTTGAAGGCGGCGGCACGGATCCAAACTTTTCAGTTCATTGGGGTCCCTCGAGATCTGTTGATCCATTGGTCCCTAGACTAGGTCCTCCAGTAGAGAGGTTAGAATAAGGGCACCAACTGTTTTCTGTCGGTTTTAGTATAGGGGAACCCTCCCCCAAAAAAGTTGGTAAAAGGGCCCTACTCAAATACCTAGTAGAGTCTGCTGGCTTCCGTTGACAGCATCGCCACCTGGTTCGCGTCTCACTGGGTCGCTCACAGAGCAGTCCGCAGACGCCGTGCCCAGGTACCCGGAAGCGCACTGCCACTGACCATCCACCTGTGTTTTCTTCAACAAGGGCCATGGACGTGGGCGCTTGGAGGGCCATGGACGTTTCAGCCAAAAAAAAGAAAAAGGGCCCTGTTTTATCATTCCCTCAAAAGTTCGACTGGAAAAGAAGTTGTGACACTTTCGGAGCCACGCTGCGAGGTTTTAATCGTGTGGGATCAACACACAGCTTCACCAACACGAAACCAACACAGGTGTTCAGTCAAGCGATCCTGAAACGGCCGTTTGCCTGGTTTACCGACATGGCCATGATCCGTGCCAACCCTGCGCCAATGAAATCCAAAGCTTGCTTGCACGCATGTGGGCTATACTCATGATGGTGTTCAATGCGTAGACGAATACTTTAGACGCTTCATGATTGGAGTTCTGCCTTCCTGCGCAAGAAACACAGGCCCAACCCGAAACACAAATCACAATCGACAAACATGCATGTAGACACACGACTTGTTTGCTGCATTCAAGTCGCCAGTAACATGAAACCCACACAAAAACTCTATTCTAACAATAGCTGCTCAAGACGCACAAGAACAGAAAATGCGGATATAGCCAGGCCGATCAGGACGCGGATCAAAGAACACATGACAAGCTTGTTACGAACGATATAGGGAAGTCCATTCTGATGGATAGCCATTGGATCGTTCATCGATGTTTCATCCATTCTGCCCAGTGGAGTCGTGGCCCTTCTAACGAGTTGGGCCTGCAGTTGGCCCTCTCGCCTACAAACAACACCAGCTTGTAAGGGCTCGTCGCTTGCGCAGCGGAAATGGGAGGAAACCATTTTTGGATCAAGGTGTAGCGGTGTGGCAAAGGCCCACCGCGAAATCCGGCTATTCTGTATAGACGATATGCAAAATCACTTAAATACCTTTCAGCTTCCCTCTGAGTAAATTGAACATTACGGGCCAGTTACCATTACCAGCACACAAAGGCTGCCTTGCAAACTGCCGACTCTCCGATTCGGCAACGGAACGGCGCCTTGACATAGCCAGAAGGAACTGGGTCTGGCTCAGGACAAGCTTGCTCACCTACAGCTTGCCCAGACTTTCAAAGTGGTTTTCGCCCCGAATAAAAAACGCCAAGCTGTCTCCACATGCACCTCGCGAAAGCGTTCTACGCGTTGATCGGGCATCTGAGATTTGCGGTGAACTCCGGGGACCAACATCTGTGTAGGGATTTGGAGCCCGCAAATGGCATCGGTTTTGCACGGGTGCTCCTTTTCCTTTCCCTTTAAACCTGAAAAGAGCACCCTCAAAAAGAAGCATTCATATAAACATCAACATATTGATGACACAAAGGCAGCAGAAACACGCTTGAGAGCTAACTGTGTATTGTTCCACCTCCAGTCGATGGGACTTGCTATCAGCAAAAAAGGGGGCAAATCGCAAAGCTACTATCAAGACGTTGCTAGGCTCTTGCTGGTTTCAGTCAAAGCAGCATGCGCAGCCTTCACCACTGCGATCTCAGTTGTCTGAAACTCTTACACTGTGCTTCTCCGGGCAGCATCATGAGAATGCACATGAGAATGTAAACTACGAATCTGTCAGCCATGCCGGTCTTTCTGCCCATACCAAACAAAGGGGGGTTTCTTGTGATGCACTGCCAATCCTTGGGTCTCCGGCACACCACATCCTGCGGGACGTTGATCTGCCGTGCGGGGTCGGTGTTGTCCTTGGAACAGGCGGTGAACTGGCAAACATCCAAAAGATCGCCCAACAAGCAAGTGGGTTTGGCTCAAAATAGGGAGCCGCAACAATGGTAGCTTTTCTGTTGGTTTCCTGTTAAACTAGCCCAAACCGGGAAACTTTGAAAGAAAGACACATGCAAATTGCAACTCGGGAAAGCAATGCTCATCTCTTCTTCTTTTTTGCATTGGAGCAACCTGCTTGGCAGCAGGCTGAATGAGGCACCGACCCGAATTGTGTACCGCACTTTTGTGGCATGGGGCATAAAGGTGTCTTTTTTGAGCATGCCCCTTTTTGGGGCTGATAAAGAGCATAAAAGGAAAACCCGGGGCCGACTGCCTCAGGCGAAACAGCCGCCGGGAGATGTGGGCGTTCCATTTTTTAAGACACTTGGTTTCCTTCTGGCTTCCCTTCAACTACCCAAAGGGGGTCAAACTTTGAGATTCCCCCATGCGAGATTCGGCCAATGCGCCTCAGTTTTCAGGGCCAAGCGGTCACATCTGTATTTAGAAATGTAGATCATAGGGATCGTCCCAAACCCCACCAAGCTCAGAGTGGTTTTGCCCAAAAACCCTGGCTTCTGACTGGACTAGAAGACAACAAACATGGGCAGCGTTTGGCTCACTCACCCGGAAGAAACTATGGGGAAATAGAGTTGCACCAAAAGCTGGACCTAAAACTCGCCCTGGACCTGTGAGCCCTGAGCTGACCCTGCCAAGCTGGGTTGAGGGTTCAAATCCTTGCGTCTGTTGCTGACCATTCCCAAGGTGCATGGCGGTCGGGCAAAGAGGCAAATCTTGCGTCATTGTATTCCATTGCGGTTGGCATTCGCTTGTATACGCCTATTTATTTATTTTCAACTTACATGGAACCGAACCGACCTCACATAGGGGGTCCGCCAAAGAACGGAATGCTTGCCCTTGAGGGCGGCACTCAGAATCCAATTGAACAGATTTCCCCTCAGTGCGAACATGTTGGTTTCATGTTGCACTGTCATGGTTGCCTTCTTTGGCATCCCAAATCTGGCTCAGTTGGCTTCATATTCTTCTTGCCCTCCAAAAACAAGCATGGAACCTGCAACGGGGCCCTCCCCCTGATCACCATGTTCCGCTTCCAGGGACTCTCTTTCGGGCGCCATGTGGGTACCGCTTCTTTGGCGGCTTAAAATGACAACCAAATGGAAAACCCAATTGTTTGGGGGTCGACCGCTTCTGTTGTGGATTAAGGGACAGGAAAGCCGAAGCCATTTTCGGGGTCCCCTTAACAAGTCACACCAATGTTTCTTTGGGGAGAACTCTTCCGCTCCGCGCCCATATCCAAAAAAAATCTCCGCGCCTCAGGGCACGTCGCCAAGCCCGTCATGCTGCCGGAGTAGAAGGGAGCGCGGCAGCTCACCTTTCTGGACCGAAGATCTGCTTCCAACTTCCGGAAAAAAACAACAAAAGGATGTGAAGGAGACATGTTCTGGGTCAAGGAGATTGTGTTTTATTTGTGTTTCCGCATATTTCACAACTTCCAAGGTCCCTTTCTTTTGCGGAAAACAAGGGGTGGCACATTTGTGTGGAGTGCTGGGATCCAAACATTTGGACTCAAGGCACCTCCTGAGACCGACCGTTTGGGTCAGCATGTTCTTTGCTGAACGGCGTTGCCGAAAATGGAAGACTGAAAAATATGTATCGTATCTTGCTGGTTTCCCACGCCCTCAAAACACATAAAAGGCCTAAACCTATGGACGCGCAATATGTCCTGTGCAGCCCGTTGCAAAAATTGGGAGGTCGCCATAGATTGTCCAGGA